TTTATCAAAACTTCAAATATTGTTTTCTCAAAAACTAAAAATTATTTTTCAAAACGGGTTGGTTCATTGGAAAGAGGACACTTTTATTAACACTTTGGGAAATTTTCAAAATCATATTCCAAGAAATCGATTTTATACGAATTTTTAAAACCTAATCAAAATTAATCTAAAATTATAGATGAAAATTGCAATTTATCAAAACTAGTTAATTATTAACTATCCGGATATCCGTTCCACCACTAATCCTAATAATAACTTGTAAGAATAAAGAATAGGACGTGAATGGAAAATGCAATAAAATAAAAAAAAAAACCTTGGATTCCAGGTTACTGTTAGACGTTTCCTTCTTCGTTTCGAGACTTTTAAATTCGAATGCGAATTTTGTAGTGCATCAAATGGAAACTCGATAACTGTACTAACGTACAGGTGCAAGAACGTTGACTTGTATTCCGATTTGACGTTTATCGCGTACAATCCTTTCTGGGTCCAGAAACTGAGCGTGTCGATGTCTACCACTTTTCTGCTACTCGACGACAAGTTTCCTAACAAGTTCTTTCGGTTCTTGTTATCGACAGCACCTAAAATTTGTTATTTATCGAGCGACTTAACGGCATTTCTTTTTCTTCATTAATTTTACCATCCACATCAACGCTGCTATTATCCAAACTGTAATCCAATGTCCAAATCAACTCCGAAGAACACGTTAAGATCGTTATTGACAAATAAGAGTTGTTTGTATTCGACCAGGTATAGAATCTAAAAAGTGTTATAAATAGAAATGTTAGAAATGTTTTATTCGCCCGGATTATTTTGGTACGAGTAAATGAGTCAACAGACACAAAACACAAAAATTGACAATGAACGAACTGTAACGTTTAAATATAGAGAGTGTTCGGTCTTTGATGAAAATTATGACTGAAATGGGCCATTTAACGCGCTTTCAGTGTCGTTTAAAGCGCGATTAATTTATTTTTATTTCTAATTTATTATTATTGCCGTTTTTTGCGTCTTTTATCGTCCACGTGCACTCCGTTTGGATTTAACTCCGGAATAAATGAATCGGAAATCGGATACTTGCGTCTTGTTCTGTCCTTGGCGAAGGAACGCCGTTATCTGAGCGTCTTTCCGGACGAATTTGACAAATTGCTCCTCGCGAAGCTGTGGAGGCGGCGGATTGCTCGGCTTCGTTCTCTTCGATTTTCGACAGAATACGTCTTCGAAATGGCACGAAATTATCATCAGTACTATTAACAGTGATAGAGTTGTCCAAGAAGAAGAAGGTGTTTTCGTTAAAAGAATCTAGAAGTAATAAAAAAATTGCGTTAAAATAGTAATAAAAGAAAATAATATGAAAAAAAAAAAATGTATCATTAATTTAAAGGTAAGATTTAACTAGAAACTCTTAAGATTTACCAACAAATTGATTTTCCACGAATTTTTAGAGTTAATCTTGATGTATTTAAAAAATTAGTAAAAATATCGATTGAGTTCAACTTAATATCTCAAAAACTTGAAGAGTTATCTCAAAACGGACAACTTCATTGAAAAGTAGATGCTTTCATTGATAATTGGTGAAACTTTCATAAAGATTTTCCAACAAATTGATTTTTTACGAATTTTTAGGGTTAATCTTGATGTATTTAAAAAATTAGTAAAAATTCCGATTAAGTTCAACTTAATATCTCAAAAACTTGAAGAGTTATCTCAAAACGGACAACTTCATTGAAAAGTAGATGCTTTCATTGATAGTTGATGAACACTTCATAATTGTGTTCCATCAAATCGATTTGTTACAAATTTTTAAGTTATAATTTAAGAATTAAATGGTACAATTATATTGGAAATTGTATACCTCAAGAAGTAAAAGAACTATCTCGCAAGGAACATCATGGTATAACTAGGTACATCATTTTAAGATTATAGGTATTTCAAGACTAGATACTGCTGGCAGAAAACTATATACTGCTTCCAGATGACTAGATATTGTTAGCAGAAAACAACATTTACCTGACAGATCACTAAACTCTACGTGATCGGAGCTTGCTACAAAAGTACTCTTAGATCAAAAGATGTAACAAATGTTATATTTAGCAATATTGCTCTCTTGTACTTTTGCTCTCAGAGTTATAAACATTGAGAAAAATACGAAATTATGAAAATTTGATGAATTTTGTTGTTTTTAAAGTAGTTAATGATAACACTTGGGTATCGGAGAATGTTACAAAAAAACTTTTAGAATGAAAGTTGTAGCAAATGTTATATTTAGCAATATTGCTCTCTTGTACTTTTGCTCTCAGATGCATAGATATTGTGAAAAATACGAAATTATGAAAATTTGATGAATTTTGTTGTTTTCAAAGTAGTTAATGATAACACTTGGATATCCGAGAATGTTACAAAAAAAGTTTTAGAATGAAAGTTGTAGCAAATTTTATACTTAGCAATATTGCTCTCTTGTACTTTTGCTCTCAGAGTCATAGACATTGAGAAAAATAAGAAATTATGAAAATTTGATGAATTTCGTTGTTTTCAAAGCAGTTAATGATAACACTTGGATATCGGAGAATGTTACAAAAAAACTTTTAGAACGAAAGTTGTAGCAAATTTTATACTTAGCAATATTGCTCTCTTGTACTTTTGCTCTCAGATGCATAGATATTGAGAAAAATACGAAATTATGAAAATTTGATGAATTTCGTTGTTTTCAAAGTAGTTAATGATAACACTTGGATATCCGAGAATGTTACAAAAAAACTTTTAGAACAAAAGTTGTAGGAAATGTTATATTTAGCAATATTGGTCTCTTGTACTTTTGCTCTCAGAGTCATAGACATTGAGAAAAATACGAAATTATGAAAATTTGATGAATTTTGTTGTTTTCAAAGTAGTTAATGATAACACTAGGATATCGGAGAATGTTACAAAAAAACTTTTAGAACAAAAGTTGTAGCAAATTTTATATTTAGCAATATTGCTTTCTTGTACTTTTGCTCTCAGAGTCATAGACATTGAGAAAAATACGAAATTATGAAAATTTGATCAATTTCGTTGTTTTCAAAGCAGTTAATGATAACACTTGGATATCCGAGAATATTACAAAAAAACTTTTAGAACAAAAGTTGTAGGAAATGTTATATTTAGCAATATTGCTCTCTTATACTTTTGCTCTCAGATGCATAGATATTGAGAAAAATACGAAATTATGAAAATTTGATGAATTTCGCTGTTTTCAAAGCAGTTAATGATAACACTTGGATATCCGAGAATGTCACAAAAAAACTTTTAGAACAAAAGTTGTAGGAAATGTTATATTTAGTAATATTGCTCTCTTGTACTTTTGCTCTCAGATGCACAGATATTGAGAAAAATATGAAATTATGAAAATTTGATGAATTATGTTGTTTTCAAAGTAATTAATGATAACATTTGGATATCCGAGAATGTTACAAAAAAACTTTTAGAACAAAAGTTGTAGCAAATGTTATATTTAGCAATATTGCTCTCTTATACTTTTGCTCTCAGATGCATAGATATTGAGAAAAATACGAAATTATGAAAATTTGATGAATTTTGTTGTTTTCAAAGTAGTTAATGATAACACTTGGATATCCGAGAATGTTACAAAAAAAGTTTTAGAACAAAAGTTGTAGGAAATTTTATACTTAGCAATATTGCTCTCTTACACTTGTGCTCTCAGATGCATAGATATTGAGAAAAATACGAAATTATGAAAATTTGATCAATTTCGTTGTTTTCAAAGCAGTTAATGATAACACTAGGATATCGGAGAATGTTACAAAAAAAGTTTTAGAACAAAAGTTGTAGGAAATTTTATACTTAGCAATATTGCTCTATTGTACTTTTGCCCTCAGATGCATAAATAGTAAGAAAAATACGAAACACATTAATTTAGTTAACGATGGATTAAAAAGACTAATTTTTTTGTCGCCCATCCATGTCAATTAAGGATCATTAGAACTTCAATTAAAATATATTTATTGTTGAGATGTAATTGTTTTCATGCACATCATAATAAATTTAACCCCATAATCGATTAAATAACCAATTTTCCAAAAAAACAACAAACTTCTGTGTCTTATTGACGTAGAAAAACGTTTCAGTTGTCGTTGATTGTTTCACGAATAAAAATGTATAAAACCTGGGGTTATATGATGCTTGAAAATCGTTTTCGCGATTTTAATTGTTGGCCGAAAGGGATAAAAGGTTGGGGGAGTTCTTTTTTGATTATTACGGTATTATTATTTATCGCGCCTATACATATAATACCAAGTAAGTTATTAATTATATCTTAATTCGATGGTTATTAAATTTTATTTTATAGCGTTTGGGATGAATTATCGAAAATATTTGTTTCACCAACAATTTTTTATATCAGGGTTGGCTATAATATCTGTAAATCTACATTTTTGGCTCAACAAACAACAACTTTTCGATCTTATCGAAGCGATGAGTAATTTCGATAAATTCGGCGTCCCAAAAAAATTGCAAGATTTAGAAAAAAAATTAAAAATTGCGATTATCTTATATCGCTGGTTGGGAATTATTAGTATAACGATTATGTCGATTGTTAAATTATTCGATAAATCTTGTACGTACGATTCTAATGTACCAATAACTTGTAATACAATTTTGGAGTATTACGTGCCGTTTAAAGTTGAACCTTTATTTCAAACTTTTATTATACTTCTTCAAGGATATACGTTTGCCAGCGAGTCGAATCATTACAATTGTATCGTTTTGTTTTATAGCTATTCTTTGGAGCTTTTAGTGATTCGTTTGGAACATATCACCGAGTTACTCAACGAGCTCGAATTTAAACCGAACGAAAAAAGGAACGAAAAATTTAGGAATATCATTTTGTACCATCAACACGTGATTAAGTGAGATTCACAAAAAAATTTTATTCAAATCATTAACAATACATTTTTTAGACTTTTTGGAACAGCCACTAACTTTATAAACAAAGTTATCGTTCCTCAAAGATTTGGTCTTGTATTTACAATAATAATATCAGCAACAGGATTTGTTTTGGTTAAAAATGTCTTAAAATTTTAAAGTGTTTTAACAAACTTTCTTTTTTTTTAGTGGAGAGATATATCTTGTTTGGTGATGTTTAGCGCGTTTATGATAACTATAACTGTTTGCCATATGAGTGGACAACGCATCATTAATGCGGTAAAATCATGTTTTTTTTTTTCATTTGAGATCAATTTTAAGTTTTAAAGTATTTAATGCGTTTGGTTAATTATACATATCATTAGAAAGCTTCTTAGTCGTTTATGACATCTTTAAAATGTCTTGATGATAGTTATGAAACCCTTTTGAGGTTAAGTGGTTTACTTGGGATATCATTATAAAGCTTCTGGCAACCTTTATAACTGTCTAGAAAGCGTTTAGACACTTTTTGACATCTTAATAAATGTCTAGAAATCTTTTAAACACTTTTTGATGATTATGGAAATCATTTGAAAGGTTCTGACCAGTCTCCGGTCCACCCCGATTCTAGGTCTAATATTGGTTGTAGTATGTTGTATATTTTTATTGCACTAAAACTAGAACTAACACACTAGAGATATCACTCAACAGAAGAATAGTTTCAGTAAATAGTCTTCAGCCACTTGTATTGTAATCTCCAAGCACTTAGTAGTGTTTTGGCAGCAACCTTGGTAGTGTTTTTAATGCTATCAGTCTTCTGATAGCATTAAATAGTCTTTGCCTATAATATCTAGCTTACTCCAAGCAATTAGTAGTTTTTCCAACAATATTTAGCACTTTGAAAGTTGTTAATAGTCTTTTGAAAATAGTATCTCGTCTTTCCAAGCAGATAATAGTCTCTTCCAGCAATATTTAGTCTTCTCCAAACATGTTGTAATCTTTTCTAGTAGTATATAGCGCTCTGAAAGCAGTAAGTAGTCTTATGGAAGCAGTACCTGGTCTTTCCAATCAGTTTGTAGTTGTTTAGCAGCACTATTTAGTTTTCTCCAAGCAGATTGTAATCTTTTCCACCAGTATCTAGCATTTTGGAAGCAGTAGGTACCTTTTTTGCAGAGCATATCTCTTCTTTTCAAGTAGTCATTAGTCTTTTCCAGTAGTATATAGCATTCTGGCAGCATTAGGTAGCTTTTTGGGAAGCATATCTCTTCTTTCCAAGTAGTTATTAATCTTTTCCAGTGGTATTTAACATTCTGGCAGCATTAGGTAGCTTTTTGGGAAGCATATCTCGCCTTTCTAAGCAGTTATTAGTCTTTTCCAGCAGTATCTAACATTCTGGAAGCGGTAGAAAAGAGGCATATCTCTTTTCCAAACAATTATTAAAGTCTTTGAAAGCAATGTGTCTTGGAATATATATAATTTTTAATCTTTTCCAGGGAGCTTCCGTAACAGAAGCAATCTATAACACAAATTGGTTCGAAGCTGATTTAACACTTCAAAAGGACGTCTTGTTTTTTCTGGCAATGAGTCAACGCATTTTAATCGTTGAGTTACCACTTCTTGGTCGATTATCACATCAAGCATTAATCGATGTAGAGTTGATTAAAAAGAAATATTCCTTTTTTTTGATTTGTGTGCTTTTAGGAGTACACAAGAATATTTGCTTGGTTTAATTGGATTGGAACGATGGCGAAAAAGAAAGATTTATTCGCAAATAAATAATCTATATAACGAAAGAAACTCGGTAGTTGTCTGGGATTGGGTTTTGTGGTAAACTTTTCTTTGCTGCTGAGGCAGTAGTTCAAGGTTTACAATATAAACCGAGGCAATGGCTCTAGTACTTAAAATAAAGTTTTTTTTAATACAAATGCATTACTTAGAAGCCGAGGCAGCCATGAAAAATAACGCATTTATCTCAAAAAACCAAAAAGTTCGAACTTTCAACTTTTAATTTTTCCATATTTGTCAACTTCATTAAAAAACCTTTAAAATGAGTCCAAAGATGACGCACTTATCTCAAAAAACAAAAAAGTTAGAATAAAAAACATTAAACCCGAAGTTAGCAACAATGAAGATAGCAATTTAATTTTTAAATATTAATACCAACCTTAATTTTTGATTTTTTTGTGATAACTGCGTCATGTTTGGACTCATTTCAAAATTTTTTTAATTATGAATAAATCGTGAAAAAAACATCATGATGTTATCTATGTCCATTATATGATAACTAACTTCAGGTTTAAAATGTCAACCTCAATTTTGACATATTTGTAATTTTCATTAAAAATCCTTTAAAATGAGTACAAACACGAGATATTTTTATCGTCAATATTAATGAAGTTATGGTCAACTTCCGGTTAAGAATGTCAACGTCAATTTTGACATATTTGTCAACTTCATTAAAAAATTTTTAAAATGAGTCCAAAGATGACGCACGTATCTCAAAAAACAAAAAAGTTAGAATAAAAAACATTAAACCCGAAGTTAGCAACAATGAAGATAGCAATTTTATTTTTAAATATTAATACCAACCTTAATTTTTGATTTTTTTGTGATAACTGCGTCATGTTTGGACTCATTTTAAAATTTTTTTAATTATGAATAAATCGTGAAAAAAACACCATGATGTTATCTATGTCCATTATATGATAACTAACTTCAGGTTTAAAATGTCAACCTCAATTTTGACATATTTGTAATTTTCATTAAAAATCCTTTAAAATGAGTACAAACACGAGATATTTATCTTCAATATTAATGAAGTTATGGTCAACTTCCGGTTAAGAATGTCAACGTCAATTTTGACATGTTTGTAATCGTCGTTTAATTTCAATATTACTCGAGATATAAGCAACTTCCGGTTTGAAATGTCAATATCATTTTGACATATTCTTAATTTTTATAAAATGTCTTAATATTTGTCACAAAAACAAAAATACAATGATTAAAAAAAAAAAAATTAAGGTTGGTACTAATATTTAAAAATTAAATTGCTATCTTCATTCGGATTTAGTGTTTTTTATTCTAACTTTTTTGTTTTTTGAGATAACTGCGTCATGTTTGGACTCATTTTAAAGGTTTTTTAATGAAGATGTCAAATATGTCAAAATTGACGTTGACGTTTCAAACCGGAAGTGATTGTATTTCCATTAATATTACAGTTAAATATGCCGAGTTTGGACTCATTTTAAAGGATTTTTTATGAAATTGACAAATATGTCAAAATTAATAGTTGAAAGTTCGAACNTTTAAAATGTCAACCTCAATTTTGACATATTTGTAATCTTCATTAAAAATCCTTTAAAATGAGTACAAACACGATATATTTATCTTCAATATTAATGAAGTTATGGTCAACTTCCGGTTAAGAATGTCAACGTCAATTTTGACATGTTTGTAATCGTCGTTTAATTTCAATATTACTCGAGATATAAGCAACTTCCGGTTTGAAATGTCAATATCATTTTGACATATTCTTAATTTTTATAAAATGTCTTAATATTTGTCACAAAAACAAAAATACAATGATTAAAAAAAAAAATTAAGGTTGGTACTAATATTAAAAAATTAAATTGCTATCTTCATTCGGATTTAGAGTTTTTTATTCTAACTTTTTTGTTTTTTGAGATAACTGCGTCATGTTTGGACTCATTTTAAAGGTTTTTTAATGAAGATGTCAAATATGTCAAAATTGACGTTGACGTTTCGAATTTTTTTTTTGTTATATTTTTGTTTTTGTTACAAATATTGACATTTTATAAAAATTAAGAATATGTCAAAATGACATTGACATTTCACATCGGAAGTTGCCTATATCTCGAGTTATATTGGAATTAAACGTATCATGTTTGGACTCATTTTAAAGGATTTTTCACGACGATTACAAATATGTCAAAATTGACGTTGACATTCGTAACCGGAAGTTGACCCTAACTTCATTAATATTGAAGATAAATATGTCGTGTTTATACTCATTTTAAAGGATTTTTTATGAAGATTACAAATATGTCGAAATTGAGGTTGGCATTTTAAACCTGAAGTTAGTTATCATATAATAGAAGTTTTATAACTGAAGTTAATCTAGTGTTAGTCACTTTTTCGCAACTTTTTCACATTGATTAAAAAAAATCGTCGATTTTTAAGCCACATGATGATTCTTGAATGTTTCGGGTTTAGCCGTCTTTAGAGACGTGCGGCTAAACCCAAATGATTCTAGTTCTTAGTCTAGTGTTAGTTCTAATTTTAGTTCCATGAAAAGTGTACAACAATTAAACAACATCTAAAGCCAGAATTAACACTAGCATTCGAACTAGAACTCGTCCTAGAACTAAAAACATTTGGGTTTAACAACAAAATACACCAATATGAGATTCTGATCTAAGTAAAAAAGGAATTTAAGAAGGAAAACATTCGTTATCACTCAGATTTAGATTTGTGGCAGATAAGGAGTCGAATTTTGATCTTGACAAGTACTGAATTTTAAGAGACACGGTTTCATTTGAGTCACCCGTAAAGTTATTCCTGTCAGCTAGTGCTTTAAATGATCTATTTGCAAACACCTACATTTATCTGTCAGCAAAGTTTAACAAGAGATATATAAAATATAATTAAATTATGACTAATATTGAATGTAATAACTTTAATTTTAAATATATTTGAATTATTTTATGCAAATTACCCTTAAACGTTTCTATTCAACTTAATAAATTTTGTGATTGTAAATACGGATTTAAATTTACTGCAACCAGATGTCATCGCGGATGGCGCATTTACAAAACGGGGGCTATTTTCAAAATGATGGGTCATAAAAATGATGTTGGTGTTGACTGAAGTGTTCCGTCGTTCAAAACGCCAAAGAGACGATGTTTTAAACGATTATAAACAATTATTTATGGAATAATAAAATAAAATAATTTTAAATTAACTAAAAACTTACCATTTTAACGATTTTTTAATAAACTACAATAAAATAATTTTTAATTAGATTAAAAAAAATCACTGAAAATTATTATTAAAACTTTTTAACACCGAACAATCAAAAAATCTTCTTCGGAGCCCCGTTTCAGTTTATCTACTACCTGAAGTCGGCGCTTCAAGTCGATAGTAATTCACTTCTTCGGTACCCCCACCATTAAGGCGCCCCCTTACAAACCCCCCCAACTGAATGAAAATGAAGAGAAGCCTTCGCCCGCGGTTCTCTTCGTGAAGGATATCGGATTTGGATCGATTGTGCTTCTAATTGAATTAGCCCCCCTCCCCTTCAAGTTAAAGGGTGACACGGTCGAGTCATGTTATGAGGGCCCCAAGGCTATTTATCTTATGTTTAAAGTGTTTTACGAAATCTCATTCAAAAATCAAAGGGTCGACTAATGGACCTCGAGATTTGCTATTAGCAACAAAGTCAGGCCCGTATTAGATTCTGGTTCGCAACCCGTTTATTAAGTTATTACCGTTGATGACTGAGTTGGGATTATCGAGGTTTTTTTGAAAAATAATAGCGATATTCGATCGGGTAAAAAATGATTGAGGCTACCTCGATGGTATTTAAAAAATTTAATGTAAGTTTGAAAAATATGTTTTTTTTGTTAAAATTCTTTTTCGAGTTAGTTCTGTGTGGGGTCAGAAGACAACACACGTGTGTCATCGCTCAATTCGCGTGTTCCCATGGCCGAATCGGACATGTTTTATTTATCTGGCAGACAGCGGACATAGTTTATAGATGTATTATGCCGTCCGGACCGAGAGAAAAAATAAAAAGGAAAAAGCCGCGCCGCTGTCCCGGTTCCTGTCGTTTGGGCTTTTTGCCAAAAGTTCGTCAGCAAAGCGCCCCCCTTGTTTTCTTCTCCATCGTCTTCTTCTTCATCACAGCATCCCAACATCGGTCAGTCAGTCGTTCAATTAGCTCTCCCTCCGGGATCGTTTTAACCGGTCGTTTAAAATCCTCGAAACGTCATTACCATTTAAACTCAATCTCTTCTCAATACTTTTTAAAACTCTCAATAAGTCTCTTTCGAGATAAAAAAATAAATATTCACTCTTTATAGTTTACTAGAGATAATTCGTTCCGTTGTAAATGGAAATTGGAAGTTAATTTTTTTTCTTGCGTGTGAAGATTTCTTTTTCGAGAGAAATTTTCCCTTCAAAAAAATCTTTATTTATTTCTTATTTTTAATTTTTTTGGGGCGGTATCTGTCAAACGAAATTCGAAGAAAACTCGAGCAAAAAGAGTTTTGCGGCGGCGATTTCGGTGGAACCGTTTTCTGCGCGGCGGCAATTTGCCGATCCGATTATTTAGCGGTTCGGCCCACGAGGGCGCGGCCGAAGAACCCCATTTGCATAATGCCGGAAAGCGACCCACACCGTCGTACAAGAGAAAGAGGACCGTCCTCGTCTTCTCTTGGTAATGACCCCGCAATTTTCCCCCGTAAAATCGACGCGCCATTCATCAAAACGACGCGTACGGGGAGCCAAAATCAATTAAATAAATTACCCTCGAGCCACATCTTCACATCGATTGGTGACGATCAATTTATGTTATATTACCAACGTACCAACATCGGTCTTTATTAAATAATTTAAAAAAAGATTGTTGAGACTTTAGTTAAGTCACAATTAAGATGAAATCCATAAAATAAAATCTCCATACTTCTGAGGAACAATAAACTCAAATATTGTTCTCTTAACCATGACAAAATTATATTAAAGGAAAATTATTCTACCACTAACTTGTCTTATTTGTAGTGATTACTCCACAAATCGATTTTTTTTCCTTAATTAGTTATTCTTCAAATGTTGATTAAAATCTTGAATTAGATCCTCATGAATATTCATCCTCCTACAAATTATGATACAAAATTATTTTATTAATAATTCTAATTAATTCAATATTACCTGCAATTATTCCTCCAAGAATTGATAATAATTCTGTGTACATTTTGATCCAGGTTCTAAGTGATGGATGGATTCAAGTTCTGGAAGTTAAATAAAAAGATATTTTAAACGTCAAATTTGACAATTAATTAACTTAAAAAATAAACCGCTTAATTCTATAGATTTTTAATAAAACTTTTACATGCCCTCATTAAAACATCAAAAAAAGCTTCGTTGTTGATTATCTTATAATAATAACTAATAAAACTTACTTAATTCAAAAAATTAAACTTCGTAATCTAATGTATTCGTTGATATGTCATAAAATAATATAACCTCAAATGTCAAAGAATTAATTTTAAATAATATTTTTTTAAATTAAATTGAATTAATAAATAAATTTACTAATTGATTTTAATAACACGAATTGAGACTGGTAATAAATAAAATGATGATAAAATCACTTTAAAAATGTTAATAAAATAATATTTTTTTAGTAATTTTGTTTATTTGATGTTGGTGAAATTGGAAATCGGCCATCTTGGTTAATCGTAGTGTTGGCGTTAAATCTTTAAATTTAAAATATAAATAAATTAATATTTTAAATTAAAAAAAATCCGTAATTGTTTACTATGATGATTGATTGTTAAATATTAAAAAGGACATTTATATAATAACTCATATACGTTTGTTACTTATACGTCAAAAATGACGTTTAATATTTGACGTTTCATTACAACAGAAATGTCAAAATTTGACTTCTAATTAAATGGTTATTAAGAAATTATTCAATTATGATTATTGTACAAGAAGTACATTGATAAAAATTGTTTTTCTTGACTCATCGGCGAACTCTGATGGAATGGATGAGTGCAATATAGCGGCTTTTACAAAGCACATCTAAAAGGTAGAGGATTAGATATGATTTATAGAAGATTTTCGTATGGATTAATAAAAACTTCTTGAAGATTTTTAATGGTATCCAGAAAATATTTAATGATATGAATATAACAGAGTTTCTAAAATCATCTAGATATTTTCAGATGACTCCCAGAGATGTTTTAATGATTTCTAGTTATTTCTAGATAACTTCTAGAACGTATTTAGAGATTTCCAGAAAATTTGTTAAGAATTCCAATGATACTTAGCTAACAATAAGAATATCGTAAAATTCATGAAGTTCAATGACATTCTTAGATTATCTAGGTTACCTAGCATTTCCAAGGATGTTTACAAATTCCTAGATTATTTTCAGGTTGTTCTAAGTATATTTAGGGAGATTTCCAAAAAATTTGCAAAAGTATTTAATGATAATTTGCAATTTTTGATCGATTTTTATTGGCTCGCAGAAACCTTTTTGCCAAACAGAAATATATTTGTCAAATTACTAATTAAGAAGTCTCGTAATACATCTGCCAAGAGTTGAATCAGCATTTTTAATAATAAATTACTATTTTAAGTAACTCCATTGATTAATAATACTTACAAACTTCTAATTGTCCAAAATGTACTTAGCACAATAAACACACAGTGTGAGTTAAATTGATCGCCGTAAATTTCGAAAGCGAATAGAAACTAAATCAAGATGAAGTAATAAATCTTTTCATTATTAAAGGTAAAAATTATTTTTGAATTACTTGTAGAATTAATACCTTGTTAACCTCAATCTAGGAGTATTAGAGATATTAATGGTGGATAATCTTCTCTTTCAGCAAAGAAGAATTTCGAATTCTCTTTATTATGAGCGATGCAAATAGGTTTATCGACATCTCTCCAGTTAAAGCTATAAATGTTAGAATTAGACCGTGATATCAGAGAATTTTAATCCTCATTATCATTCATGAAAGCAATAAGCATCTTCATTAATAAATATGATTCAATTTCGTAATTAATCTTGTTTTAAATGTTTTGGTGTAAAACAAATTGATATTTCTTGTATAAATTTCTTCGGAGAGATCCCATAAGACCCGAAAAGGGTCAGTTTTATTTAAAAAAAACGCTTTTATTTTAACTTTTTGTTTCGAAATCGGCAAAACCCCGGAGTATCGTATTACAAAACAAATGCGTCCAGTCACTTCTCGTTTCCCCCCGTTTATTTATCGTCCCGAAACGGTGTGTAACGTGAAACCCGCGGGCGAAGAACCCGCGGCGAGGTCCCTTTTCCCCCGATTCACCTCCCCCCTCGAGCTCGGTGGTATCCAAGTTCGCCGATTTCGCGCGTCCCCGAAAAATCTCACAATTTATTTCAGCGGGTGTCCCGTTTCTTTTGGTCCGCCACCTTCAATTTCTTATTCTTCTACTTTTTCTTCCTCACCTTCATCTTCTCTCCTCTTCGTTTTGTGAATTACGCGAGCGAAATGTTAATTTTGCCATCTTAAGTATAAAATTTATAAACTCGCGTAATTTGTAGGATATCGAATATTGTTGGGGGGGGAATCTTTTTTGTAATGTAAATGGTGCGAAAGCGGCCAGAGAGTTTGGTTAATCTTCGCGTAAATTTTCTTTTACATAAATATAACGATAAAATTGGTGATAAAATCGGCAATAAATTTCGTTTCGAGTTTTCTTTCCGTTCGATAAACTACCAAAGTTGTTTTATAAACCGTTTTGTTTCTCTTTTTCGATTGTATTATAAGGGGGGCTCGATGATGTTTTGGCGAAGTTTCTGTTCAATATTTTGGTTCGTTTTGGCGCCGAGAAATTATTATTATATTACATTGTAAACTAATCGTGTTAAAAAAAATATTTTTGTATCAAAATCTAGAAAGGAAAACAGTTTGGTTGTTATTGTTGGATCATCAACTGGTGCAATTGGTTGGAAATGTATCAGGAGATCATGTTTTTGAGGAGGTGAAAATTGGAGTTAAATTATAGGGATAGGCAACTTAATTTGCTTTGGTGTAAAATGGGTTGCATAACTCATTAAAAATCGTTTCATAATAAATCCTTTTAATTTTACAACAAACAAATTAATAAATCCCTAAATTTGAAGTTCTTCATTTCCTCCAACATTTTCCAAAGCTTTTTTGTAAGTCTTAATAACAGGATTTACAAAATCCTCCAAAAACTCATCAACTTGTTGTTCAGCTCTCCCAGTGAACAACTTTTCATCTAAAATTTGATCAAGATCCGCCCAAATAACTTCGAAGAACTCATCATTTTTAACTCTCTCAATCAAATCGTTTCTTTTCCCTTCGATTTTAACCACATTCCCAGCTTCTTGCGCCAACACCCTCAATTTTTCATGGCAAATTTGCCGATCTTTGCCTTTACCCACCATAGCCATCAAAATATTTTCGCTGGCCATAAAAGGAAGTTCTTCTTGGACGTGTTTTTTAATAACGTTTGGATAAACGACGAGATTCTTCGTTATATTTATTAAAGTTAAAAGAATCGAATCGATTGTTAAGAAAGATTCGGATAAAGTTAACCGCCTATTAGCGGAATCATCGAGGGTTCTTTCAAACAGCTGAGTTGAATGAACTTGGATGGTATTAAAATAAAGGCTGGTTACGAATTTCGCTAAAGAACAAACTCGCTCGCATTTCATTGGATTCCTTTTATACGGCATTGCTGAACTTCCAATTTGAGTCTTTTCATCAAAACTTTCTTCGATTTCTTTAAACCCGGCTAATATTCGCAAATCCATACACATTTTATGAACGGAACTCGCCAAACCCGATAAACATGCCAAAATTTGAACGTCGACTCGCCGAGAATACGTTTGACCAGTAATCGGAAACGAGTCGGTAAAACCGCTCAATTTCGACACTAACCCATCGAGTTCTTTCACTTTATTATGATCGTTATCAAATAATTTTAAGAATGAAGCTTGCGTACCAGTTGTTCCTTTACAGCTGCGAAATTTCAAATCGTTGCGACAACGTGATATATCACGTTCGTCCATTAATAAATCTTGGATCCATAAACATGCTCGTTTTCCAACGGTGGTTAATTGAGCTGGTTGCAGATGTGTAAATCCTAAAGTTGGTAATGATCTATAAAAAAAAAGAAATAAATTTAGTTGATTAAATTTTTATTTAATTATATATGAAAAAGTATGCAACCAATATCACAGTATGCGTTTGCGATATTGGTTGCATACTCGGGTATGATAATTAATTAACACACTGTATATTATTATATAAAAATGAAGTAAAAGTATATATTAAAGTAAAAGAGAAAGTATTAACTACGAATGTTGCTCAATTTAATGGATTTATTGTATATTTAATCTTATTCCTATCAATGTCAGTATTCCTACAACAATTCAAATGGCAAAGATTAAACCTGACATGTACAAAACGAGATATTAAACAATAATCTGCAGGAAGGCTAAGACAAGGCTAAAACAAACTCTTTTTTTTGTAGTTGTAGTAAAGGCGCTGTTTTAACTCTGATTTCATTGAAATCATCCCTACCGTAGGAGTGCAGCTTGATTGATACGGGTTAGATAGTTGTTAGACAGATGGCTCTTTTATAGACAAATCGAACAAATCACTTCAGCATTCATTAGACAAATGACGTCCAAAGTATTCCTCCTCAACATACTCCAACACAGTAGGTTCATAGGTCTGAGACTCAACAGGAACTTAGTAGCTAGCATAAAAGATTTAAGACGTTCACTAAAAAGCAATGACAACAGATGATTATATTTCCAACCCATAGGTACTGAGGAATCTACTACTTTTTAAACGCTTGCCGCAAATGTCCCCGAAAAAAGCTATCTTGAAAAATGAGATGAACATTAAAATGGGTCTGTTGGAACTGGAGAATGGCTTGGAGGTAATTGCGTTTTGTAGAAACAACCAAAATAAAGTCGAAAGGGTCATATTCGAATTAGAACAGACATTGGAAACACAAAATGTAGTTAAAAAAAATCTCTTCCCGACTAACCTTGCTACTCCAACAGAAAAGAAGAGCTGAATGAGCCCACTGCGTTGCACAGCGAATGAGTACAGGTTGTGAAGAATGAACGCACAGATAAAACAGATCGTACCACAAAATAATAAGAAACCAGGAGCACTCTTGAGTTCCTTGACTTGGACTGCACGATTACAGCAAAAGAGCTTAAAGCGGAATTGAAGGCTGACATAAAAATAAATATGTTTGTTGTTTTGGCTGAAAATATTTGTCTTAACTGTGGCAAAACGAGGCAATGAGGGTCGAATGTAAGAATTTAACAACATGTTTTTTATGCAACATATCGTATGACCAGATAGATCATGTCCCGGGATCCAAAATGTGCCCTAATTTTAGGCTGAGTTTGGAAGCGATAAAGAAAACTACCTGGCAACCTTTACAGTGATACAAATAAACCTGCATAGATACTATAAAGTAGCCAACAATCTACTTAACACAAGAAAATTTCATACAAAAGTTAAGCTAAAACTAGAACTAACTCTAGAACCTTTCGGGTTTTGCCGTGAGTCTTTTAATAACAGGTTTGACGTTTCGGATGCCAAGTGAGGTGAACTTCTGAAACTTTTAAATAAAAACAGAAAACTACAATTATCGAATGAAAAATCGATCTGAGAGAAAAATCTTTACGCACAAGTAAGTATTGACAATGAATTAATAAAGGAGACTCTTGTGAGTTGTCTTTTGAGTTTAATTGGTTAATTTTTCTTTTATAGGTTATGTTAAATAAAAAAAAATAAATTACCAACCGACTCACTGCGAAGAAAAAGGGTTTGGATTCAATGTGATAACAGGATAATGGATTGTCTCTTGGTTTCGAAGTTCGAGCTAGTTTTCTGGATTCATCGTAATTTCAGGTCTCCCCTTCGGTTTATTCGGGATTCTTCTGACGGATGAGTTTGTCCTTCGGATTTGGATGAGTTCGAATATGTTTCAGGAGTTCTCGGATAAGGTTGAGGTTAGTTCAATTATTTTATAATTTTGAGGTTATTTTTAACTTTGACGTTTTAAATTTTTTTTTCTGTCAACCGACGTGAATTCGTTGTTGGTCAAATGACGACTGCCTCCTGCACAGAACAGTAGTATAGGCCTCCTGTTTGCTTGCGATTACCTTTTATACTCGCCCCCCCTCCTGTTTCTTGCTCGTTTCTGATTGGTTCTTAGGTTCGCGCCTTTTTCAAAATTTAAAATTTTTGCATCGAAATTAGCGTCATCTCTCGGATTTTCTTGGAACTAACCTTCAAAATTAAATTCGTTTTCCGTTAATTTCTCTGTTATTCCTTTATGAATCGTAATAAAACTTCGTATTTATCGTTGTCTTTTCTTGTTTTCAGATATACATTGGAGTACACCCCAAATTCCATCAATGAGTAAAGTTAGAAAAATTCAATTTTAAATCAACGATTTCTTCTTCAAAATAACGTTAAAACATCAAACGATGGATGACAAATGTGCTTTAGGAGCTGAACTAATTTAATTGATACCTCTGGAAGCAAGCTAAACGGTTTTAAATAAGATTTCTACCAACAAAAATTTCTCTGTCAAAATTTTATGGTTATGTTTTTCTCGATGAACTATGAAATGGTTATTTTTATCGCAATATACAGGGTGTATCTGAATGACTGCAACAAACTTCAAGGGGTGATTCTTTAGTGAATTTTAAGGGTACTTTGATATATGAACCATGGGCGACTTCGGCTCCCCTAAGGAGCTACGCTCCTCCAAAAATGGCGGAAAATTTTGGTTTAATTTTTTTTTCTCAATAACCATGAACACTATACTCTGTTTTTAAACCAGGAGGAGTATTTTAAATTTGTCACCAGATTGACCTTGCACGTGATTGGTTGAATGCGAGGAAGGTTCACACACAGGCAATTTTGAATTTGAAGGTTAGGTTATTGACAATTCGACAGTTTCGTCATTATTGTAAATTTTGTGTTCTTAAACCCTTCTTTATTATATTTTGAAATAAATACACTCATAACTTCAATGTTAATTTGTATGTTTAGTGTTGACGATAACAAACGAAAATAAATACAATAATAAGTAAATAAATAAATAATAATAATTATTAATTTAAATTTACCGCCAAAATATCTAGTGATATTTTCTGGTGATTTTTCCTAGTGTAAATCTGACTTTCGCGTTTACTCCTCCTGGTTTAAAAACAGAGTATAGGAACATGAAATTTGGGGAATATGTTTAACTCATAATAGGGCATGTTTCGACCCTATTTGTACTTTCAACCTACCCTTCTAAGCTACTAAACGTAACCATCCCCGTTCAATTTATGCCTAGATTTTTTTTATGAAAACGATAAATACATTGGAAAAATTTCAGTTAGATAGATACAACTATTCTAAAACTTTTTTGTCTCTCTGATGTTCTTCTAAAACTTAATAATTTTTGAGAAAAAAAATAATTAAGCAAATACTAACTGTTAAGCTGTAGGGTTGTTAATCGAAAGTTGGAATGAATTTTTAATGAAAAAATCTTAGTAGGCTTTGTAATCTTTGTCATAAATATTTTTGACGTTTAAATGTCAGTGGTTTTCTTATTATTATTATTGTTTTATTTCAAATTTTAAAACGTCGAGTGAACGAGCGTAAATGCGATAGAACTTTATTTAAAAATTAATTTGAAAAACAATTATAATAGTACCTTTGATTATATATAATATGGATTGAGCCAACGAGAGAGATAGCTTGCGCAAGGTGATCGAACCGACATAGACATAGAAGCGTACTGACATATAATGGGCTTGCGTTAATTTATAAGATAAAAAACTATCAATTAGAAGCACAGAGTAAGGCAGAAAGTTAGCTCACCGGGAAAATGATAGGCCATTCTCTATCTCTTATTATCACATCATAATACCGATATTTTCTCTTTGTCATCTTGATAGAAATCCTTAGTAGATGGCGTACATGTCGTTAGTAATATTACAGAAAGCTGTTGACTTTGTTTAAGCGGTTTTGACATTTTATGTATGTCACATGTCACACAGTCCTTTTGCGTTTATTGTCTTATTTGTGCTTATTATCTATTTTTGCGTTGTATTTTTTACGAATAATTTTCGAGAATAATTATTGTAAAAATGTTTTGCATTGTGTGTGGATGTAGCGAAGATGAAGTTGGAAAATTATTTTGTTTTCCCAAGAATAAGGACAGGTTAGTATTTTAATTATATTAATTTTTAATTTCAATAGTATTCAAATTTTTGATAACACCGTGTCACTTAGGGTAAGAAGCAGTTGGTGTTTGATAACCAACATTTATTTGTTATAATGCTTTTTTGTTATATGTACTTTATCAATTGAAAACCACAGACAAAAACGGCCAACCCAACCCAACCTGTGAGGGTCATCCCGGAGAAGACGAGGACAGGGGTTTTTAGTGTAATTATATTGTAATTTAAATATAAAATTTTAAATCGCCAATGGATTTCTCTTTATTTTGCATTGAAATTATAAAATTATAACTTTTTGATTTGAGGTGCTTTTTATTGGTCTATTAAGCTGTAATTATTTTGGCTTACGCAAGCTAAATATAGCTTAATAGATCCACAAAAAGCACATTAGATCAAAAATATTTCTGTATTCAAATTTTAAATTAAATAAAAGATTTGAATTTGGCGCCAATTGCATTTTTGCTTCTCACTGCCATCTACATAAGTGTTACATGATGAGTGAGAGAGACCGGTATATATTGGATCTCGCTTTCACAATGGAGTTGGCCGTCTGGTAGTAGTCTGTGATAAGAAGTAACATTTATAATACTTACAGGTGATGTGAAACTGTATTATCGCGAACTTTGCACACGAAACCATACATTTTTAAACATAACGGTGTGACTTGCTGTGACACAACAAAACGATAAACGTCAAATGGAAGAGGTTTGACACTTTTGTGCGCATGCGCCCGTCTGTTTAGTACCGTTTTATGTCTATCTTTGTTACACTTTCATATTATCGCTTTCCATCTGCGTCTATTCACCTTGAGCCACATTTTTGTTAGTAGATATATTCAGTTAGCTCAATCCATATTATATATAATCAAAGAATTGTACGAAAAACACTGACATTTAAACGTCAAAAATATTTCTGACAAAGATTGCAAAGTCTACTAAGATTTTTCCATTAAAAATTCATTATTTATATATTATGTAATTATATATATATATATATATATTATATATATTATATAATTTATATATATTATGTATATAGAAGGTCATCTCCCCACTATTTTTTGGTACATTCAGCGCTCCCAAGGGGATTGTGAGGGAATTAATTAGGTTAAAGCGCGAAATTTAAATATAGGTATTTCTATACCGGTTTATACCAATAATTTATTTTGAAGAGGTTAAGTACATTTTACAAATAAATGCAAAAAAATATGAATTTAAGGTTTTTGCAAGACAAAATTCATAATTTTAAATATAATATATATATTGCTCTCATTTGCTATGAGCGCCAATTTACATATCTATCGGATAAAATTATGAAGAGGTAGTAAAAGTGGCCCTAGTTTATTTAACATTTAACTAAACGATATAAAACACTTAGCCAAAGGAAAGTAAGGAAGAATATTTGCTTATACAACGGGGTTACCACCAGTTATCACACCAAACGACAAAACAAAAATGTGACGTTTGCTTTCACCTTTGAGTTTGACGTTACATATAAATTTTTCTATGGCTACAAGCGCTTTGTTTGTGTAGATAATGCAGATTGCTACAAATTCAGTCTACAACGTCATCCAGTGGATTGTGAGGGTACTAAAACCAGGGTCTACATTTTTATAGTAGTAAGATTGCACACCATGTTCATTATAACTTTTGATCGACAACCCCGTTGTTTAACGGTCATTATTTTTTTTTCTCATAAATTACTCGTTTTTGGAAAAATTTTAGAGAGACAAAAAAGTTTTAGGATACTTTTATCTACCTATGTAAAATTTTTCTAATGTATTTATCATCTGCATAAAAAAAATTTTAGCAAAAATGTAAAGGGGGTGGTTAGGTTTAGTAGTTTAGAAGGGTAGATTGAAAGTACAAATAGGGTCGAAACGTGCCCTATTATCAGTTAAACATATTCCCCAAATTTCATTTTCCTAGCGTTTATGGTTTTTGAGAAAATGAAATTAAACCGAAATTTTCCGCCATTTTTGGAGGGGCGTAGCTCCTTAGGGGAGCCGAAGTCGCCCATGGTTCATATATCAAAGTACCTTTAAAATTCACTAAGGAATCACCCCTTGAAGTTTGTTGCAGTCATTCAGATACACCTCTATATAAAAAAATTTTTATATACAGGGAAATTGTATACCCCAATTCACAGTGACTCGAAATTCTTAACACTCGGTGTTTATTACTTAATCTCAGCCACGAAAAAAACCGGTTTTTTCGTTTCGTACGAAAAATCAAACCCAACCCAAGTAATTTAATGTGGCTGATGATTGATTAGGCCAGGAAGTGATGGGTTGGAGAAAAAATAACCCATCGCAGGTTCCACCTCTGTTTTTTATCTAGTTAAAGTTAGATAAAATATAATGGAAGGAAGCCTGCAATATTTTGCAGCGCCTTATAGAGATTTATTGGTAAGTTCGGTAAAATGAATAAAATTTGACCTTAATTGACAATAAGTGACTAATAGTAATTAGAATTCGGTGTGTGCCATGGTTTTGTTCAATTCCATTTTTAGAGCAGTTCGCTATTCAGAATGAATGAATCAGCATTATATGTTTAATCACGACTCAGTAAACTTATGGCCAGAGTTAAGCGATCCGTGTCGCTCTGCATTTGAAGCGGCTCATAATTTCTCAGTAATCTCTGTTTCGTTCGAAATATTTGTTCTATATGGAACAATAACCTTAAACTAAGCTACTTGAATAGTAGTTTTTGTTCAAAAATTCATTTATGATCTAATCTTTATTATTATATCTTAATCCATAGAGAGTTTCTCCAACCTTTTCATGCAGAACTACATCGCAATGTAGGATTTTGGCAATAAAATAGCTTTGAATAAAAAAGAACTTAATTACTCTTCTAATTTAGTATTTACTTACTTATGTTGTTCAGCAAATCGTGATAAATTATCAATAACTCTCGCCAAACGTGGTAAAATCAAATCGAATCCATCCCGAATGATAATCAAATCCGTATTATCTCCAACGAAACAACTCGTTGCCCCCAAATGGATTATCGGAGCGGCTGTAGGACATTGCTTAGCAAAAACGTGAACGTGAGCCATCACATCATGACGCGTTAATTTTTCCTCCTCTTGGGCCGCTTTAAAATCAATTCGATGAACGTTCGATTGCATCTCCTCGATTTGCGCATCGGTTATGTTAAGACCCAATTGCTAAAAATAACAACAAAAATAAATGAATACATTATCAGATCCTAAACAAGGTGATTTAATAAGAAAGAATGTTTTCTAAATAATTTCGTAGAAAAACAGGTCATATTTAATTTACCAGTTCTAGATAAACCTATCTGACTCAAATTAAACAAAACATTTTCGATACATTATCGCTGAAATAAAGAGAGAAGGGGATTATTTCAACATATCTGGGCAAATATCAGCTTGATAAGAGAACTGATAAGAGAATGAAGGTGGATTTTGAGCCAGTTTTACACACCTGTTTACACCACGAACTAAACGAATAGTACGAATTCTTTAAATACATCAAATTAATTAATTTTAATTATTATTAATTTCGAAATTATTTGGTTGAAGTGAAAAATTAAGTGGAAAAATGACGAATATCGCAACTGTTGGTTCTATTATCATTAAAGTTTTAAAGCTGGTGAGTTAATTAATTAATTAATTAATTAAAAATGTTTTTTTTTTTTTGGTTTTATTTAAAGTTGTATTTGTAATTTTGAAGTAAAAGTTAAAAATGACCCATTTCTTGATTCAATTCGCATGCGCTGTAATGGCAAGGCGCGGTTTTGTTATCAATTAATAATTATTTATTATCAAAAATGATCTCATCTTTATAATAAAAAATTTTCAAAATTTCTTTTATGTTTTAGGTGCTAAATTTGATCATTTTGGTTCTTTATCGAACTGGTTATGGCGGGCAATTTTTGGGGGTTGGAGGCACATGGAATTTGAATGAGGAAAAAAACCCCGATACTGAAATCGTAGCTTCAGGAGTTTTTGTTGGTTTCTTTATTTATACAGCCGTTTCATTGTTTAGTTATTGCTTTGCAACGGGTGACCACAAACAGTAAGATATTTCTATTACTTAAAATTTCTCATTTTTAATAATTTCTCGCTTCTTTTTTAAGCACTTTCGTTGATATCGTTATGAATATCGTGGGGATTTTCATGTGGCTCGCGGTGGGGAGTGCTGCTTTACATTATTGGCATGGTTATATGGCCGAACATAGGTTCTTGTATGTTTCGACAGAACGACAAGTAAGTTCATCATTTTTTCGCATACTTAAGTCTATTCATTCATTAATTTAATTTTCAATTTTAGGTTGGGTTAGCTTTGGGTTCTCTCTGCATAATCATGGGGGCGATTTATATCTTAGACAGTGTTTTATCATCGATTCATTATTTCAAAACCAAAATGATGAGCGATTAAAATTAAGATATAGTGCTGCTCACAAAACAGCTAATTACTTATATTTTAAATTAATATTAAAACTTAATTAGGTGTGTATAGAAGTAGTTTTTTTGAATATACATTAAGATTTTTTTTTAATTTTTAATAACAATAACAATTTTGGTTCTAAATAAAATGACAATTTCAAAATAAATCTAATTTCTCATCTCGATAACTTTAACAATAAAATCGATTAAGCAAAGAACTGCACAAATCGAAGTCAACATTCCCATCGAAATCCAAAAACAAGACGTGCTAACCATCATAAATTCATTATAATCCGAGTACAAAATAAAAATTAAAATCGTTGAAACGAGGTGATAGACGAAGCCGAAAAGTGTGAAACAAATTTCCAAGAAATCTTGAGATTCCGCGAAAATATAGGTGAGTATAAAGATGAAACTGATGAATGCGTAACCGATGATGGCCACTGAAATGGTATCGTGACTTTCCACATCTTTAAACACTTTCCCTGGGGGATCTACATACCAAATTATCCAAGCGGAGAGGCAAATAACCTATTTAAATTAAAATTTGGTTAAATAAAAAAAGATTTAAATGAAATAACTTACAAGTTGGAATAATTTTAGGATAAAATGGATGTTTTTGAATAAATCTTTGATGTTGTTACCCATTAAAATAAATAATTAAATCGATTAATAAAGAAAATGTATTGACAGTTTAATTGTCAAAATTTTTCAAATTAAATGGCGTTTAATCTATTCACCAATAGATGGTGCTAATATTAAATTCGACAAATTTAATTCACTAAGTTTAAAAAAAAAGAAATTTTTTTGTTATAAAACTGTTCTTTTTTAACATAAATGGATAGAAAATTAAAAATCCTTTAAAATGAACCCAAACTCGACCTATTTATCTATAGCCGTTATTGAGATATCTTAATTTTTAACAAAAAAAGATGGCGATTATTTGACATTTGACAGTTTATAACCTATCTTTTTTATTTTTCAACGTAAACATATCGTGTTTGGTATCAAATTAAAGCATTTTTGATTCTTATTAAGATAATTTCAATATTTATCAAAAAATCGTTATATTTAATTTTGACATTTGACAGTTTCTAACCTAACTTTTTTAATTTTTAACCCAAATATATCATGTTTGGTATCAAATTAAAGCACTTTTGATTCTTATTAAGAACTGTTATCGAGATATCTTAATTTTTACCAAAAAAAAAGCGTTTATTTGACATTTAACAATTTATAACCTAATTTTTTTTTATTTTTTAACCCACACATACCGTGTTTGGTATCAAATTAAAGCATTTTTAATTCTTATTAAGATAATTTCAATATTTATCAAAAAATCGTTATATTTAATTTTGACATTTGACAGTTTCTAACCTAACTTTTTTGTTTTTTAACCCAAATACATCATGTTTGGTATCAAATTGAAGCATTTTTGATTCTTGTAAGAACTATTACCGAGATATCTTAATTTTGAACAAAAACACGGTAATTATTTGACATTTGACAGTTTATAACCTAACTTTTTTATTGTTTAACCCAAACATATCGTGTTTGGTATCAAATTAAAGCATTTTTAATTCTTATTAAGATAATTTCAATATTTATCAAAAAATCGTTATATTTAATTTTGACATTTGATTGTTTCTAATCTAACTTTTTTAGTTTTTAACCCAAATATATCATGTTTGGTATCAAGTTGAAGCATTTTTGATTCTTATTAAGAACTGTTATCGAGATTCTTATTTTATTTTAAACATTTTTATTATAAAAAATACAATGGGATTTTCAAAACGCATAGTTTTTTTTTACAATATGTAACATAAAATCGATGACCATAATTCCCGCTGCACAAAGGGCGCAAATCGCAACCACAAGTGCCGCGTCCATTTGCTCAAGACTCCATACATTGTCCTCGAAATCGCCGAGAGTCCGCATCGACCATATCGTATCGGTGTGTTTGAAATATTCGATTAATACAAAAATGCATGAGAGTAAATTGTGTATGGCGCCGACCGCCAGTAAACATATTTCGATGACTCTTGTCGATTTACCACTATCTTCTAAAACAATGTACGCAACGATAAACGAACCAATAATGAATACGTAACCGTACTGGGCAAATGCTAAATTATCGGACCATATTGTTGTTTGTAAATCGAAAGGATATAATTTTCGAGCTATAGCTCCAGCGAAACATAAACCCTACGACATGAAATCAATATAATATTACAGAGTTATAATAAAATTATTGCATTACTCACGAATTGGAAAATTTTAAAAATAAAATGGCTATTCCCAAACAAATTTTTCGCCCTTGCCATTTAGGAATAATAAAAACCGATTATAAATAATAAAAAATAATATTTTTTGATGTCTATTATGACATTCCTAACTTCAAAATAAAATATTCGTCATAACTCCAACAGATGGAGATTCATGAAATGACAGTTATGTGTTAGAACATTTCAATGTTAGGTATTTTGTAGATTAGGTCTAATATTTAAGCATATTTACTACAACTCGTGGTAAAGACACAAAAAATGTCAAGAAGTGGGATTTTTACAGATAGCCAAGTATTGGAAGAAAGTGAGGAGTAAGATGTTTCAAAGGAATTAAAAAGTGAGTTGAACTTGGGAGTTGTGACGAAATTCCACCAGAAATGTTCTAAAAACTAATACCTAATTATCAATTTTGATTTAGGAAGCTTACTACGATAGGACATGTGTACAGAGTAGTCAGATCAGCTAGAGATGCTTTGGAAGCCAAAAAGTATTGTACAACTGCTTTCTTCAATCCATGCATATTCGCTACTACCGATACATGCTGAAGTGCCATGATAGTATTTTGGGACTCACATTTTATAAACAGCCGATTTGCCTAAGACAAAAAATACCATGATTGCAAACCAACCCAACCCAACCCATGCATCTTGAAGTGGCGTCTCAACACCTGCTATGTCGTTTAGTATTGATGGAAGAGTGGCTAAAACAGGGGTAAGTAAAAATAAATCTTAAGACTATGACTGGACTTACGAAGATTTACTAGAATTGGATTTAGTTTCACTACCAATCACTAGCTGGCGCTAGTAACTTTTCCAATACCAACCTAAATCTAGTTACATTTTCTATATTTAGTTATTTTTTCAATACTACTCATCTGAAAGAGTATTCTCAAAAGCAGGCGAGTTAACAAAAGACAGAATGTAACATATGATCAACGAAATAATGTTTTTAAATAGTAATATGTAGTATAATAAATATTTTCTTTGGAATATGTATTTTGAATTCGGTTTGGGAATACGGAATTCAGTTATGGGGCATCGTCTTAGACAACTCCAAACTAGAATTGTGGTCTGCGAACCCAGCGTGTTGCAGCCTTGCACTTGCCTTGAAAGAATCTTAATAAGACCTATTCTTAAAGTGACGAGGTTATGATGTAGTCAAAGTTGAATATTTGGATTCATTGTGATTATGAAAGAGGCGAATACTTTTAATAAAAAACATTTTTATTGTAGAAAATACACAGATGAGATTTTGTCAAAAAGCAAAATTCCTCTTTGCTATATGTAACAAACAATCAACCACCATTATTCCTCCACAACAAAAGGCACAAATCGCGACTAAAAGTGCAGCATCCATTTGGTCAAGATCCCATACAATTTCCTCGGTATCACCACCAGTCCGCATTGACCAAATCGAATCGGTGTGTTTGAAATATTCGATTAATACGAAAATGCACGCCAATTTATTGTGTATAGCTCCAATAATCAAAAGACATATTTCGATAACTCTCGTAGAACTACCGGCATCTTCCAAAATAATGTATGCAATGATCAACGTACCAGTAATGAATACGTAACCGTATTGGGCAAACGCTACGTTATCAGACCATATCGTTGTTTGTAAATCGAAAGGGTACAATTTTCTGGCGAAAGCTCCAGCACAACATAAACACTACGTTTTGGAATGTTTGAAAAATTAACATTAAAATTGAGTAATACTTACAAATTGGCAAAGTTTAAAAACGAAATGGTTGTTTGCAAATAATTTTTTTAAATTTTTCATTATGAAATGATGAAAAAATCATTTAAAATGTTAAGTCAACGAAATTGTCATGATATGTATCTAACTTCATAATACAGGATCGCTACGGGTTGGTTGCCCGCACTCTACGTCACACTATTTGCCACGCCCAGTTAACTGTCATTGAGTTCTATGTGTGTTTTTAGAGGTTATATGTTAGACATAAGTCAATAAAAGATTTATTTTTGAAGTTAATATGAATACGTCTACGAATAACCTCTAAAAATATACAGCAAACTCATAGAATACAATAACAGTGAATAACAGCTGACAGGGCGTGGTGATATTAAATAATAAAATTAATAATTACATAACACGCAATAACCAACCCAATACCAAATAACAACACGTAAAGAATTACAAATATATTACAAGTTCCATCTGTATGCGTTGTTCGAGTGCAATACTTCAAGGTCGGCAATTATGCTACGTATTTTTGTTGTCATTACGTTATTTTTCAGTTTGTTTTTAAACTCGTAATGATAAACAACGCATAAGAATACAACCAAATAAAGAAATAAGATAAAATAAAACCGTTTTGAATCATTAAGAGATGAATCATACCGAACAACTAGAGTAATTATTTTACGTGGGCGTGAAGAAATAAAGGTACAAAACGAATTTTAGTGTGGTATACGGTTAAAAGGGTCAATTGATGTTAATTAAAAAAATTAGAACCTTTAACGGACGAGAAGAACATCTTCAGTAAGGACAGTTTGAATGAAACGTGTCTTGAAAGAGGTCGAATTTTGAAAAATTAATTTCAAAAAAAACTTCAAAATTGAGCCCACCGTCAGATTTAAACCGGTAAAAACGTATTACGAGGTGCCGAAAAAATTTAAAATCGGCCAAGTCGAAATGGAAGATGACAAAACGGAGGATGAAAAGGTGGATTTGCCGAAAAAGAAAAGTTTAAGGAAAAGAATTAAATCTAATTGGCACGTTGTAATAAAAATAATTGAAATGGTGAGTTATTAAATGAAAAATAAATTTCATTCTTTTTGTTATTTTATTTAGAGTTTGTGCATCGTTTGTATCGGATTAATTTACGAACCACTTCAAAATCAAGACATAATTAAGGGGCATCTACACCATTTGGGCGTCATTTACACCAGTTTCTCCGGATATTTATTAATAATGTGCGTAATGTTTACGAGTTTTTTGTTTAATGAAGCGATCGGTTATAAAACTTCGACCATGTTTTCGATTTGCGCCGCTTGTCTTAACATAATAACTGCCATATTAATATTCACCGATAAAGATCATTTTAAAAGTAGGATTTTTCACCCAAACATGTATTTATTACCTTTACTAATCGGTTGTAGCGTTTGCGCATTCGTAAACGGGATTGTTTATTTTGTTGATGCGGTTTTTACATTTAAATATAAAAGGGATTTTGGTCCAAATTAATTTTCTTTTATCGATTAGGTTAATAAGATTAATAATTTTAGGTTAAGTTGTATATTTTTGTTGCATTTTTATCAATAATCCGTCCAATTTTTTGTATAGATCAATTTGTATTAATAAATTTATTACTTTTTACAAATTTTCTGTTTTCCAATTAACTATATACAACCAGATACTACTTCCTGATTGCCAAAAATCACATATTGCTTGTAGAAGACTTAATACTGCTTGAAGGAGATAAAATACTGCTTTGCAGAAGGATAAATACTCTTTGCAGAAAACTAAATACTATTTGTAGAGGACTAGATAGTGTTTTAAGGTTGGCAAGAATCACATAGTACTTGCAGGATGCCAGATAATGTTTTCAGAAGACTTGATATAGCTCGAAGGACAACTAGATACTACTTATAGGGGACTAGATACTGTTTGAGGATTGGCGAAAATCAAATAATGCTTGCAGGAGACCAGATATTTTTTGCAGAAGACTTAATACAGTTTGAGGGAGACTAAATACTGCTTTGCAAAGAAGCAGATACTACTTGTAGAGGACTAGATACTGTTTGAACATTGGCAAAAATCACAAATTGACTATAAAAAGCTATATGCAGCTCGCAGGAGATGAGATAATGCTTGCACAAGACTTGATGTTGCTTGAAGGAGATTAAATACTGCTCCAAGATACAAACAAATGAAAATCGGAACGAACGAGGTCTGTACTATAGGGCAGATGGACTCTAACTTCCCAATTGTGATTGTAAAACGAGGTCTGATTCCTTTCATTAACCTTCCTCTTAGTTTGTGGCTTGGTGTACTTTTAAGAATTTGACAATAAATATCTCTACCACATCATCGAGCCTTTTTTTGATTCTGGAATATGGTAGTATGCCCACGTTTTGTCTCCTCATTACCTCCGCCATTCGTTGCATTTTATGTTGATCGGTCAACATTTTTGGTAACCATCTTGCGAAAACTTTTCAATACAATTTCATTCATCATTTCCCTTATTTTTAACCAACGATCTCTTGGAACCAGCGTATCTAACAAAACTCATTGTAATCTGATTTAAGAACCTTTCGAATTGAAAAATTAGGTCGTTATTTTTATTTATGTGGTGTAATCAACACATTAAATATCAAACCTTATCTGGAAAAGCATTGGCTCATTTAATCTATAGCGATTTCATTTTATCTTATCACAATACTAAACAACCATATCAGAAATGACATCACTTCTAATCCAATTTGATTTATACTCGTTATATTAATGATTGTGACAAAATGTCACTTTGACATTACAAAATCCCTTCTTAAATATGCATCCTATGTGATTTGGTGGTTTCACCCAATAAGATGTGATGAAAATTTAAAGCTGAATTTGACATAACTACCAACCGAAATTTTTTTTTAAATTAACTTCAATTAACATCACAAGATGTCACGTTTAATTTTTGACGGATTCGTAAAAAAATTAATATGGGTGAATGCAATGTGTTATGTTGTAAAAAAGATCGAAGAAGAGGACCGTGTAATGAGGTTAGGTTTATTGAATTTGTAAGTATTTTTGCTTAATGTATATTTTATTAAGTAATCTCTTATTTCCCATTAATTGTTGTAGTTTTTATCGTTATTATGCTTAATTTCTGCGTTAGTTGCGTCAAATCAAGGTCACCTTAACACCAAATCCTCGATCCATTGGGTGTTCGCCCCTTTATACGGAATCCCAATAACTTATTTATTCATTACGTTCGTCGATATAATCGTCACTTGGACATATTTTCCAATCGGTTGGAGAGCTTGGATTTTATTTTCAGTTGGTGGAGGGCTTTTATTCCTTTTTTGTTGTGGGATATCACCTTTAATACAATCGCATCTTTTCTTTTTGTACACTTTGTTGTATATAATCACCGGTTTTGTGTTTTTAATGGATGGATTATGTATTGTTTGGTTGGTATTAGTTGCTATGGACTTTGACACATTTCAATTTTTACATTTCTTTTTAGCATGATTCGCTCTTTAAAGCTTGGCACTGACCAAAGTCAGCATCAACCTTGCTGCAACACAGCTTGTGGGCATAAAGCGACTCAAATCGCACCGGAAATTAATAGTGTTGATTCAATATCTCAAACTGACCCGAATTTACAACGAAAAGGTATTTAGATCAAAGAGTTGTTATAAATGTTAAGTTTTAATTGGTTAGGTCCACCAATTGGGGATTATAATGAGTATCCGAGTACTCAAAAACGAAGAAATGACCCATATCAAGATAGGGAACCTCAAAAGTAAGTTGATTTGATTTGAATAAATCGGTTTTATTTGTTTTGATTAGTATGAAGGGGGATTATGGACGAGTTAAGCAAGAAAGCGGTGGAAATGAAGAGAAAAAAGATATTGTTGAGAAAATTAATGATTCAAAAACAGTTTCTGCTATTCAGAAGACAATGTGGGCTTCGAGGAAGTTAAAACCAGTCGATATGACTCCTTTACATAACCCATTCTTAGCTCAGAGTCAAATAAATAAATAATTTATAAAAAGAATTTAGGGATTTTAGTATTTTAACCTCAACTCTATTTAGTTACTGAAAATGTTACTAAAAATCAGGAAAACAACATAAATTTTATAAGTAATACCAACAGAAACCATAAATAATTTACCTAGGGATTTTAATTTTTTAAGTGACGTTTTAAAATTGACAAGATGATGTAATAACGAAAAAAAAATTGATTTTTTATTTAAAAAAAATTTAATATGTCAAAATCTACAAAATTGCGATCCCCTGATAAGCATTCCAATAAATCGTCATCCAGCGAAACAAAGATGATTCAAAATCAACGAGTAACGTCAAGAACTTGTCCAAAAACATGCCCGAGACATCAACAATTAAAACGAAATCTTCCACCACCAAATCAAACTCGATTAACTTCACTGGATGATGGAAGCGAATCATCGGGAATTTCACCAGAACGCAATCAACGTCAAAAATTATCAAAAAAACATGGAAATCGTCTCAACATTGATTGTAAAGCCCTGGACAATGCGAACGAGGTGACTTAAACAACTTTAAAAACATAATCTTATAAATTATTACCATTTTTAATAGGGGTACCAACAAATTAATTGCAACGACACAATTTGGACAATAAAAATAATGAAAGATGCCGCAAATACCGCAAAATGTTTAAATTATAACCCCGCAATCGTTCAAACGAGCTTAACAACAATCATAAACGCGAATAAATTAGAAACTTTATTACCCATTAAGTGAGTTAATCAAAATAACAAAAAAAATAACCTAAAATCGTTAAAAATCCATCTTTAGAGAACGTTATAAAGAAGAATTACCCTCAGAAACAGCTTTATCCTCCTCAAATCGTCCTCAACGACAAAAAAAAATTCAAACTGAAGTTCCCACTGAAGGTTTCCTTGTGTGTGTACCATGTCAAGAAGCTTTGATGCGCCAAAACCAACCTGCTTTAGCAATAGGTGATTAAAAAAGTTAAAAAAAAGTAGAGGACCCAAAAAAAAATTAATCAAAAATCTAACTTCTTTTTAATACCCAGACGAAGTCAAAATGAAAGAATCGAAAACTACTCAAGATAATCAAAGATGTGAACCTTGTAGTAGATCTCGATCGAGAAGTAGATCGCCGAAATCTTGTTGTATGTGCTTCCGGAAACGGAAGAAAAGGTATCCTCGACAAAAATCAGTACGTATTGTAAGACCTGATTATCATACTAATTGTAGTGAAAATTATATTTGTTGAATAAACTAATTAAATGGATAAAATTAAACTTACTTTTTGCGCCTTCGCCAAATTAATCCAAAGTTTACGCCAAGTCGAAAATTTTTTTTGGTCGCTGAAATTGTATTTCATGTTGTCGGAAGCGTATCGCGTGCATAACGGGGACCGATACGTGGTAAATTCCGATTGCGGCATTATTTCCTGATCCATTTTTATTAATTAAACTTCGAAAATCACTTGAAAAATCACTTAACCTCAAAATCACCTTTATGTCAAAACAAAAAAACGCCGAGTGAAGTGAGACAAGACAAGAGTGAAGTGGTACCAACGTTTAAATTATTTAAATCGTAAACATGTTTTTGCCGTTTTATTAATAATTATTGCATTAATGTCATGACCTTTTTATCTAATAAAAATTTCTTATGCGTAAAGATTAAAATAATCAGTTTGATTTTGAAATAATTTTATGTTAAATATAAATTGTTTATGCTATTTTTTGACATAAATATGCAAAAAATTTAAATGATTTATAATTAAAGGAAAAATGAATTATTTTTATCCTTAACTTGTCTAAAAAAACCCTTTAACAAGCAGACCGTTTAAAAATTACAATAATCGCGATTATTTCGCAAAAATCAACAAAGCGCGCGAGTTCCGTCTTTCACCAATAGATGGCGCTGACAATTTAAAATTTAAAAATTAATAAATAATTCTCAAAATTTCAAATTTGTTGTATTTATATGAAATTTAGCTTACCTTGTTTTATTAGGCATCAATTTTTGTTGTAATAGAGTTATCATCCCTTGTCCAAAACCACACATGTACTTATACTCTTATCGGGAGTTTAGGATGCTTCTAAAGGTGTCTTTTTTGCCTTTTTCTTAGTTCTTATTACTCTCAAAATAATAATAATGAGATCAACCCAACAAATAATAGCGCAGATAGAACACAACACACATATCATAACCCAAGAACCGCGAGTTTCTTCCACATATTCCCAATAATGTGGGTCTAAATACAATTTCCAAGTTAACCATGACGCAATGGTGTGATATATAGCCCCAAAAAATGTTAGAGACGTTTCTAAGAAATCATTTCGGGTTTCGTTCAAAACGAAATTGGTTATTAAGCAAAAACTGATTATTGCATAACCAATAATGGCAACTGGAATACAATCGTGCTCTTCCATGATTTCTTGGGCTTTAAATGGTATTAAATGTCGCAGGGGTACTTTATACCAAATAATCCAAGAGATGAGGCAAATTATCTGGAAAAAAAAATGATTAAGTAAGTTTGATATCCTATTTAACAAAGAGACATACAAATTCAAATATTTTTAAGAGAAAATTTTTATTTTTGAATAAATCTTTAACGTTATAACCCAAAGAGATGGTAGTTTTCGTTCGGATAATCTTCATAACAAAATCAAAGCAGCAAAGAGCACCACAAAATGAAGTTAAAACCGCCATTTTAATCCAAAAAGAACGCAGTTTATTTGGCATGTAGTTCTTGTAATTTTGGAAAGTTATGTTTATTAAAATCCCTGCTAAGATGTGGTATAAAGCTCCAAAAATCGTTAACATAATCTCTAAGAAATCGTGGGTTTCCACAAAGATATAGGCGATTAAAAATGTAAAACTGATTATTGTGTAAGTGATAATCGCGATTGGGATGCAATCGTGACTCTCCATATTACTAAACACCTTTGGGGATTGATCCAAGTACCAAAGAACCCAAGCTGTAATTGAAATAGTCTAAAATTTGAAAGAATGTTGATAAATTTTGCAATTATTAAATGAAACTTACAAATTGGATTAATTTTAAGATAAAGTGGGTGTTTTTAAATAAATCTTTAATGTTATTAACCATTATAACGTTTATTTCTATTTTTATTGTCAAATTGACAACATTAAATTTAAAATTCTATCAAACGCATTCTATTAAACGTCAAATCTACCAAAAAAACAAAAAGTACTAAAATTGACATTTCATGTCAAAACATGAACCAACTTAACCTATAAAGCACGTGTTGTTCTATTAAGTTGTTAATTTTATTTAAAAAAACGGTGACAATGATTGTTTCTAAAAGGAAATCGGAAGAAAACGTTGAATCAAAAAAATTTAAGAAAATCAAATCGGAAAATTCCCAACCTTACGGTAAAAGGAACAGTGAGGTTAGAAAATTTGATAAATCAGGACAGAAAAATGCAACTTTGGATAAACCACCGAATTGGAACGAGTTTAAGAAGCAGAAAAAGGAGTTAAAAATCAAACGTAAACAAACCAAAACGTTGTATGATGTGAGTGTTAAAGCAAAACAAATCAGTGAGAAATTGAGGAAGAAGAATTTGGAAGGTGGGAAAGAAGAAAGGGATAAATTGGTTATTGAGTTACATAAAATGTTAGGGGGTAAAAATAATTATGTTAAATTCGTTTTATCCCATGATATGGGTAGAGTTGTACAGTATTTATTAAAATTTGGACGGCAGGATATTCGAGATGATATTGCTAAGGTAATAATAAATAAATTAACATTTAATAGGGTAAATCATACAGTTATTGAATAGATTACAACAAATTACATTTGTAATTATTTCTTGCAAAAAAGTACAGTCATTGGACGCTTATAATAATAGTATAGTTATTAGCTGAAACTTGATTATACACACAACACACTTGTTTAGGATAATTTTTTTCATTTCATGTATGTACTCATTGTATAAAGTATTTATTTTTTCATCTTTATCCAATCCTTTAAATTGTATTGTCTTCCTGTTGTTTCTTGTCTTACTGATATTGCCATTATCTGCCATGTTATTAATGCCAGTTTCAAGTTGTTCAAACTCGACTGTGTTTAATGAGTCTTCATCGCAGGACTTTACTTCCACGCAAAAGTAAGCACTTGCCTGCATCCTGGCTCAACAATGACGTAAAGATCTCATGCGCAGACGCAATGCTGCAAAAACTCTTCTTTGAAGACATCCTTCCAATGCTAATTGGAAAATCTACCGTAAAAAAATTTCCAATACTTTCTGGAAAACCATGCGTTCTCTCCTCTATCACTCTCGACGATTCAATTAAAGTATCAACAATTTTCGCCATTAATGCCTCCGCTAATATCAGTTCTAGATTTTCCTTGGAGTTGTTTGACAAAATTCAAGTCCGCCGCGCTCTCAGACGTCTCAGAGTTTTTAGTCTTCTACAGGCAATATTAGTATTCTGCAACCAATTTCTAATCTATTGGTAGCAATAACTAACCTTCTATAGACAATATCTATCTTCTGCGAGCATTTTTTAGTATTGTATAGGTAGTATTTGTCTTCCGCAAGAAGTTTTTAGTCTTCTGTCGGCAGTATTTAGCCTTCTACAAGTATTATTAGTATTTTACAATCAATATGTAGTCTATTGGTAGCAATAACTAGCCTTCTATAGACAATATCTATCTTCTGCAATCATTTTTGGTATTGTATAGGTAGTATTTGTCTTCCGCAAGGAGTTTTTAGTCTTTTGTCGGCAATATTTAGTCTTCTAGAAGCAGTATTAGTATACTGCAATCAATGTATAGTCTATTGGTAGCAATAACTAACCTTCTATAGACAATATCTATCTTCTGCGAGCATTTTTTAGTATTGTATAGGTAGTATTTGTCTTCTACAAGTATTATTAGTATTTTACAATTAATATGTAGTCTATTGGTAGCAATAACTAACCTTCTATAGACAATATCTATCTTCTGCGAGCATTTTTTAGTATTGTATAGGTAGTATTTGTCTTCTACAAGTATTATTAGTATTTTACAATTAATATGTAGTCTATTGGTAGCAATAACTAACCTTCTATAGACAATATCTATCTTCTGCAAGCATTTTTTAGTATTGTATAGGTAGTATTTGTCTTCTACAAGTATTATTAGTATTTTACAATTAATATGTAGTCTATTGGTAGCAATAACTAACCTTCTATAGACAATATCTATCTTCTGCAAGCATTTTTTAGTATTGTATAGGTAGTATTTGTCTTCTACAAGTATTATTAGTATTTTACAATCAATATGTAGTCTATTGGTAGCAATAACTAGCCTTCTATAGACAATATCTATCTTCTGCAAGCATTTTTTAGTATTGTATAGGTAGTATTTGTCTTCCGCAAGGAGTTTTTAATCTTTTGTCAGCAGTATTTAGTCTTCTAGAAGCAGTATTAGTATTCTGCAATCAATGTATAGTCTATTGGTAGCAATAACTAACCTTCTATAGACAATATCTATCTTCTGCGAGCATTTTTTAGTATTGTATAGGTAGTATTTGTCTTCTACAAGTATTATTAGTATTTTACAATCAATATGTAGTCTATTGGTAGCAATAACTAGCCTTCTATAGACAATATCTATCTTCTGCAAGCATTTTTTGGTATTGTACAGGTAGTATTTGTCTTCCGCAAGGAGTTTTTAGTCTTTTGTCGGCAGTATTTAGTCTTCTAGAAGCAGTATTAGTATTCTGCAATCAATGTATAGTATATTGGTAGCAATAACTAGCCTTCTATAGACAATATCTATCTTCTGCAAGAATTTTCTGGTATTGTACAGGTAGTATTTGTCTTCCGCAAGGAGTTTTTAGTCTTTTGTCGGCAGTATTTAGTCTTCTAGAAGCAGTATGAGTATTTTGCAATCAATGTATAGTCTATTGGTAGCAATAACTAACCTTCTATAGACAATATCTATCTTCTGCGAGCATTTTTTAGTATTGTATAGGTAGTATTTGTCTTCTACAAGTATTATTAGTATTTTACAATCAATATGTAGTCTATTGGTAGCAATAACTAGCCTTCTATAGACAATATCTATCTTCTGCAAGCATTTTTTGGTATTGTACAGGTAGTATTTGTCTTCCGCAAGGAGTTTTTAGTCTTTTGTCGGCAGTATTTAGTCTTCTAGAAGCAGTATTAGTATTCTGCAATCAATGTATAGTCTATTGGTAGCAATAACTAACCTTCTATAGACAATATCTATCTTCTGCGAGCATTTTTTAGTATTGTATAGGTAGTATTTGTCTTCTACAAGTATTATTAGTATTTTACAATCAATATGTAGTCTATTGGTAGCAATAACTAGCCTTCTATAGACAATATCTATCTTCTGCAAGCATTTTTTGGTATTGTACAGGTAGTATTTGTCTTCCGCAAGGAGTTTTTAGTCTTTTGTCGGCAGTATTTAGTCTTCTAGAAGCAGTATTAGTATTCTGCAATCAATGTATAGTCTATTGGTAGCAATAACTAACCTTCTATAGACAATATCTATCTTCTGCAAGCATTTTTTAGTATTGTATAGGTAGTATTTGTCTTCTACAAGTATTATTAGTATTTTACAATCAATATGTAGTCTATTGGTAGCAATAACTAGCCTTCTATAGACAATATCTATCTTCTGCAAGCATTTTTTGGTATTGTACAGGTAGTATTTGTCTTCCGCAAGGAGTTTTTAGTCTTTTGTCGGCAGTATTTAGTCTTCTAGAAGCAGTATTAGTATTCTGCAATCAATGTATAGTATATTGGTAGCAATAACTAACCTTCTATAGACAATATCTATCTTCTGCAAGCATTTTTTAGTATTGTATAGGTAGTATTTGTCTTCCGCAAGGAGTTTTTAGTCTTTTGTCGGCAATATTTAGTCTTCTAGAAGCAGTATTAGTATTCTGCAATCAATGTATAGTCTATTGGTAGCAATAACTAACCTTCTATAGACAATATCTATCTTCTGCAAGCATTTTTTGGTATTGTACAGGTAGTATTTGTCTTCCGCAAGGAGTTTTTAATTTTTTGTCAGCAGTATTTAGTCTTCTAGAAGCAGTATTAGTATTCTGCAATCAATGTATAGTCTATTGGTAGCAATAATTAACCTTCTATAGACAATATCTATCTTCTGCGAGCATTTTTTAGTATTGTATAGGTAGTATTTGTCTTCCTTAAGGAGTTTTTAGTCTTCTACAGGCAATAGAATAGTAATAGAATAATAGTATCTATAACTTCAGAAACCTTGTCAAAACCTTTAGCAAAATGACTAGGGCAAAATTATTTTTACAGGAACTAATCCCATCAACTGTACTATTAATCCAATCAATTTATGGTAAATTCTGCATAAAAACATTACTAAAATATGGAAACACTCAAATTCGTACTGATATACTTCGAGCTTGTTACGGACACGCCGTAAAATTGGCAAGCCATTCAGTGAGTGCCCACGTTTTCGAATTTGCTTATAGAACATACGGACATCCGCGAGAAAAAAATCATTTAATCCAAGAATTTTTCGGAGACATTTACAAAAAATCCAAAGATGACTCCATCAAACATATACGAGACGTTTACGAGAAATCACCCGATTTAAAAAAAGCCGCTTTAGACTGTACAAAAGCAAATTTGCAACGAGTACTAAACAAAAAATTATTAGACTCAAATTTAGTACAAACGGTTTTGTCGCAATACCTTTCTGAATGTTCAGAAAATGATAGAAGTGAATTATTAACCCAATTAGCTCCACATTCGGTCGTTTTAAGTAACAGTAAAGACGGAGCGAGAGTTGTAATGATGATTATTTGGCTCGGGACGAATAAAGATCGCAAAGTTGCGATGAAATCGCTTAAAGAACACATTTTAGATTTGTGTAAACACGAAACTGGACACACAACGATTATTGCGTTATTAGATGCTGTTGATGATACAGTTTTATTAAACAAAACGATTTTAAGCGATATTTTAAAGAATTTGTTGGAGTTGGCTAAAGATGAGTGGGGAAGAAAAGTTTTACTTTGGCTAATAAACCCGGGTTGTTCAAAATATTTTCACCCAACATTTATGAATGAGTTACAAAAAGGGAGGGAAAATTCCACGTGTAAAAAACCGGTGGAAACTCGTCGAGAAGAAATTTGGAATTATTCAGTAACCCATTTTATGGATTCTATCGAAAATGAAGCTGAAAAATGGTTGGAAAATACTTCAATGGCTTCTATAGTTGCTAATGTTATAGGAAAAGGAAATCAAAATAAAACCGTTTTAGAAAATATTTCAAAAATTATTACCAACCACGAATGGAAAATCAATGATGACGAAGATAAATCAATATTGGGAATTGAACATTCTGGTTTACAAATGGTTATTAAAACGATGATTTTGAATGATTCAAAGCTAATTGGAACTGAATCTGGATTGTTTAGTCGTATTTTATGCGACCATATTAATCCTGAAATGGTAAATTTGATTTATTAAATAAATAACTTAATTTATAAGTAATATCGATTTCTTTTTAGCTTGAAATTTGGTTAAAATTGAATCGTGGATGCTTCACTTTGATTGCAATGCTAGAAAAGGGCCCCAAAGATGTTCAGGATAAATTAAAAAGTATTTTAAGTTCGTATATTGATTTACTTGGTAAACAAAAAAATGTTGGGGCGCAAATTTTGTTAAAAAAACTTCAATAAATAAATGTATTTACCTTTTAAAACGTTTTTGTTGTAATTCTAACCTCAAATTTGATTAAATTTTTTACCAACCTCAAAAAAATAAATTAATTTATATTTATCGTAATAATTATTTTTTATTTCAAATTTAGATCTAAATAATTTTTATTAATCGAATCCATAATAATTATTAATTAATTTACTTTTAATAATTAAATAAAATAAATAAATAAAAAAATTATAGTCTTACATTTTTTACCAACCTCAAAAAAATAAATAAAAATTAAATTAATTTTTATATTTATAATAATAATAATTTTTTATTTCGAATTTAGATCTAAAATCATTTTTATTAATCGAATCAATAATAATTAGTAATTAATTTACTTCTAATAATTAAATAATTAAGTTTTATTAAATAAATTTTAAGTTGGCACCCATTATGACTTTTAAAACTTCAAACGTCAACAACAAACTGGTTTTTTTACGCAAAAACACGTTTCTCCCTTAATTTTGTATTAATCGTCTCATTTTCAATATGATGGACTTTTTGAATTCGTTTAAATCGCTTATAAAGGTGGAACAAATTCACACCGACGACAACATCTTCAAGTTACACTATAAGTTTACGGTGATTATGTTGATAGTTTTTTCCGTTTTGTTAACTTCGAAACAATATTTTGGTGATCCGATTAATTGTGAGATACATTCGAGAAGTTCTGAGGTTATTGAAACGTATTGTTGGATTTATGGGACGTTTACGGTGAAAAAAACGTTGAAAGGTAACCTATTTTAGTTGATAATAATTTTTTGTACTAATTTGTTGTTGTTGTAGAGAATATTTTAAGTGGTTTGGGCCCAGATCCACGATTATTATTAAGTGAGACCCCTCAAGATTCATCTGACGAAATAATAACGCAAAAATATTACCAATGGGTGTGCATTGTTTTTTGTTTTCAAGCTTTGTTGTTTTATATACCAAGATATTTATGGAAAACTTGGGAAGGTGGGCGATTACGCTTACTAGCTAAAGATTTAGGGGGCCCTTTAATCCCAAATTGTTGGAGTGAAGAAACGAAAGAACGCTTGATTAGTTACATGATAAGTGGAAATTATTCGCATAATCTTTATGCTTTAAGATTTGCTTTTTGCGAATTATTAAATTTTATAAACGTCGTTTGTCAAATTATCTTCATGGATTGGTTTTTAAGTGGGCAATTCACAAGTTATGGCATAGCATTGGCACTTTACAATGGAGAAAATCCAATGACTCGGGTGTTTCCAAAAGTAACAAAATGTACTTATTATAATTATGGTCCTTCTGGAGGTAGACAAAAGCAAGATGCTTTGTGTGTTCTTCCATTAAACATTGTTAATGAAAAGCTTTTTTTGATATTATGGGTGTGGTTTTTGGTGCTTACCATTGTTAGTTTTTATGCATTAATGTATAGAATGATCGTTTTAGTTTCACCCAAAGTTAGGATGTACCTCTTGATGGCTCACGCTAAATTTTTATCGAAAAAAACCGCGAATGTTATATCTAAAAAGATTTCATTTGGCGATTATTTCTTTTTGTATCAATTGGGTAAAAATTTAAACCCTTTGATTTATAAAGATTTATTGATTAGCATCTCTAAAGGTTTAATGGATAAATCATCTTTGCCTTATAACCCAGAGGTTACCATGCCCGTTTAAAATTATTCTAATCATGAAATGTTTAGTTAAAACAATCAAAAAAGAGTTTTCCTAGTTTAAAAATTGTGTTATTTTATTTTATACGTTTGTTTATGCGTTTAAATAGATGTATGTTATATTTAGTTTTAAGTTTATTTAAAAAATAAGCTATAATAAGTTTTCTAATAAAAACAGTTTCATGATCATTTTTTATTTTTAACTCTCCTTTATGTTTTTATGCTTTCAGAATCAACAAGACTGGATGTGAGTGAATATCTTGCAATGTAAAATAGTCATACAAAAACATCTACCAGGATTTAATATGACCTTGTACGGCTGGTTGAAATTGTATTCTGTCGGCATAAGGTCCATTTTAATTTCAATCAGGTGATTTAGACATGGGTCCTTGAGGATTTCGAGGTGTCCTCTGAGGTTGCCCTGCATCAACTTGAGTGAAGAAACCATTTCCAGTGATAAGGCACGTGAAGCTGCCTTATTTGAATCCGTTTTCTGTTAGGGTGTTCATCAAGTGATCAACTACCAGACACCATAATTGGAATAAATAATTTGTAATCAGCTTTTCAACATGGCTATACACTATTTGATTGTCGACGGATGTATATCTTTTACGTTAAGAGCACCCTCTATGTCTATGAAGGTACATAGGACTATCTCTTTGGTTGCAATTGCCTCCTCTAAAGTGCTAGTCAAAGCGTGGAGAGCAGTAATTGTTGATTTTGCTCTCTGGTAAGCATGTTGGCTAGGGTGCGAAATTTCTATATTTCGTATTCTCCTCACAGTATAAATTGCTGTGTTCAACTTTTTGGACATATTCTCTACATGTGCTTGCCAGTTCAGTTTGTTGTGTAAATGTATTCCTAGCAGCTATAAAACTGTTCTTGCAATTCAGATTCTGGATAAAGTATTCTACACATTTTCAATCAGTCTGAAAAATCTGGATAATGCAAGTATCATTGAATCGAAAACAAAAAGAGCCTCTCACCTCTCACGATTTCAAATTCCAATAAAACTTTATTCATGGCAATTTATTTACATTTGGTTACCAACATAATTATTTAAACCTATGTTCTGTAATCTGTATATATTAAAATGTATTAAACATTAGGGCAAGGTACCCCTGGGTTGAGGTCATGTGTTTATTTTTATTGTGTTTATGAGGTTTCTTCAGAAGATGTGATAAATGAATAATTTGTGCATAAATAAATTAAAAATAATTATACCTTACCGAGATCTTCTTTTGATTAACACTGAATCTTTAGAATAACGTTGGATTAAAATAGATGTAAGTTTAGAAAAAGAACGAAAGGTAAACGAGGTAATAAATGAGCACAATAACCACAAAAATATAAACAATTTAAAACAACAATGGCGTCGTATCGTTTAAATTTTGACATAATTTGATCTCCAACTTCGCGAATTAAGTTAAAGCGCCATCTATTGCGAGAATAAGGCAGATTTAATTAATACCTAACTTCTCTTTTAATAACAATTATATTAAAATAAAAATTATTATTATTTTTAATAATATAACAATTAATTTTTAATAATAACTTCCCAAAAACAATAATATTTATAATAATAATATTACAAACGATTTTTTGAGGTGTCTACATTTCAAACTAACCTCAAAAACAATTAGGTTATGTATACATAAACATCAAAACATAAAGTAATAATTTAAAAGTTTGATTCATCATGAAACTGGTACTTAATATTAAATTAAATTTATTAAATATCTACGTTTAATATTTTTTTTAGTATTGTTTAAGTAACGATCCAAATAAACCATGTCACGTTTTAACATTCAAAGAAATCACTTTGATGCTCGATTGTGGCCTTTCGATGCAATCCGTATTAAGATTTTTACCTTTATCGTTCGTGCCGTTAAATCGGCTTCAAAATTTACCTAATTGGATGCCTGCAGATTCTTCAGAACCGGATATTGAAGGCGAATTAAAAGAAAATTGTGATCGAATATTTGTGGATTCTCCGCCAGAATTTTGCCCCCCTTTAGATAAATTGATTGATTTCTCTCAAGTTGATGTTATATTAATTTCGAATTATATGTGTATGATGGCTTTACCATTTATTACAGAAGGTACAGGGTTTGAAGGGAGGATTTATGCTACTGAACCTACTTTACAGATTGGGAGGTAATTTTTAATCTTAAATTAATTAAAAAAAGGTTACATTTATTAATTTATTTAAAGATTATTATTAGAGGAAGTTGTAGTTTATATAGAACAATGTCCAAAAGCAAATTTTGCCACACAATGGAAAAATCTTCTTCATAAACTCCCATATCCATTAAGTGATTCATTTAAACCAAAATCATGGAAGCAAATTTATAATATGGCAAATGTAAATGCAAGTTTATCTAGGATACAAATGGTGGGGTATAATGAGAAGATTGTAAGTTATTAAAAAAACCAACTAATTTAAACTAAACTAATTGTTTTAAGGATGTTTATGGTGCATTAAAAGTTATCCCAGCTTCATCAGGTTATTGTTTGGGTTCAAGCAATTGGGTTATAACTTCTGACCATGAAAAAATCGTTTATTTAAGTGGCTCAAGCACTCTAACAACCCACCCCCGCCCTATGGATCATAACGCGTTAAAAAACGCCGACGTTTTAATCATGACCGATTTAACCCAAACCCCAATTAGCAACCCAGATTCAATGTTGGGTGTTTTATGCGTCGTTGTTGGGTTAACTTTGCGTGGTGGCGGAAATGTTTTAATTCCATGTTACCCCACGGGGGTTATTTATGATCTTTTTGAGTGTTTATCAATTAAAATGAGTGAATTAGGGGTCTCAAATTGTCCCATGTTTTTCGTTTCTCCAGTTGCTGATATGTCGTTGGCTTATTCGAATATTTTAGCTGAATGGTTATCATCAGTAAAGCAAAATAAGGTGTATTTACCTGATGAGCCTTTTCCACATGCTATGTTGGTTAAGAATAGCCGATTAAAGTTTTGTAAGCATATCTATTCGGAGGGATTTAGCACGGATTTTCAGGAACCTTGTATCGTTTTTTGTGGGCACCCAAGTTTAAGGTTTGGGGATGCGGTACAATTTATTGAGATGTGGGGGAATAATCCAAGAAATTGTATTATTTTCACAGGTAAAATTTTTTTTATATTTTCTTTTCCCAGTTTTCCAGTCTGCAAATTGATTCCATAAATTTATTTTTTTAAATAAATTTTTGAATAAAGTTTAAACGTCAATGTGACACAAATTCAATGTTACCAACTGTAACTAACTTCACAATAATTTGTCAAAATTAAATGTCAATTTTATGAAACGTTATGTTTTTTACGAAAATTAATTAATTTAGGCTTAAATCATAGTTCTAAAAAAAAAGTTGATCTATTCTTGGATAACCAAACGAGATGTTGAAATTTTTCGTGAAAATTGTCTGAATTGAAGGTTAGTTATTGCTACCAATAGACTACACATTGATTGCAGAATACTAGTACTGCTTGTAGAAGACTAAATACTGCCGACAGAAGACTAAAACCTCCTAGAAAATTAAATTAAATTGATGTTTTTTGAAATTTTGACGTTATTTGAATGTCTAAAATTTTTGAATTGCAGTTTCCTACTTTACTACTTTGTTGTTGCAATATTTGGCAAAATGACCTTTTTGTTTACAATTATAACAAGTAATTTTCTTTTTATCAAACTTCTTTTCTGATTTTCTGTATTTTGATCTTGTTGAGTACTAATTTTATTGTTCAAATAGTGGTCAATTTTAATTTTGATTTTTAGAACCCGATTTTGATTATATCGAAGCATTGGCACCTTATCAACCCTTACAAATGAAAGTGGCTCATTGCGCTATCGATACATCATTGAATTTTACCCAAGCGAATAAATTAATTAAAGATTTAAAACCAACGACTTTAGTGGTACCCGAATGTTACACGCAACCTCCAACAACAGCGCAAAATTTAACGGAATTAGTGATTGAAAATAGCCCCGATAGGACCTTAATACCATATAAATGGGGCGAAGTAATAAATTTACCCTTAAAACGAAAACAAGGTCAATTATTCATCGAAAACAACATCGCACAAAATCTTAAACCGGTCGAAGTAAAACCCGGCGTTAATTTATCAACAATAACCGGAAATTTAAATGTTAAAGATAACGTTCATAACGTTGAGGTTAGTTTAAACACATTTCAACATTTTAGTTCTTATTTATGTATATTTTAAGGAAATCACCGAGCGCCAAATGCAATGTAACGTAAAATACGAATTTGGAAATGTTAATATAACCGATTTTTTACAAAAACTCGCCAAGGAAGGTGTCACCGATGCTAAAGTTGAATCAAGCGGAAGTGGGGTTATGATTCATTTGCAACATGAAGATGCTCTTATTCAAATTGATGATAATTCAACACATATTTTATGTAGCAATGAGAGTTTAAGAGTTAAATTGCGATTAATTTTGATGCAGTGTATTAAAAAGTTTTAAAAAATAAAATTCTAACCTCAAATTTAAAAAAATTAATTAAGAATTATTTATTTTATTTACAACATGAAGATTAATGGTAACTCCACGCACGTTTTATGTAGCAATGAGAGTTTAAGAATTAAATAGCGTTTCATTTCGATGCAGTGTATTAAAAAATAACATTCTAACCTCAAATGAAAAAAAATTATTAATGATTATTTATTTTACTTACAACATTAAGATCGATGATAATTCCACGTACATTTTATGTAGCAATGGGAGTTTAAGAGTTAAATTACGACTCATTTTGATACAATGTATTAAAAAAATAAATACTAACCTCAAATCAAAAAAAAATAATGATTATTTATTTCATTTACAACAATAAGATGCTCTTAAACAAATTGATGATAACTCCACACGCATTTTATGTAGCAATGAGAGTTTAATTGCGTCTCATTTTGATGTGATGCATTAAAAAGTTAAAAAAATAAAGTTCTAACCTCAAATGAAAAAAATTAATTAAGGATTATTTATTTCATCATATTTTTCTTTACAGAAATCGAAAGATTCATTAAAAATAGTTAATACGAACAAAGAAAAATGAAAAAAACAAATCTGTGCCAAGCCTTTTTTTTTTAAATAAAGGCTCCACTTTTATTTTTTGCCAAGTGCTTTTTGAGTTTGCGCCGTTTTAGCTTTAACAGCATCCTCCTTGGCTTTCTTATCAGCTTCCCTCCTTTTTTGCGCCTCCTCACGTTGTTGCTTAATTATTGCAAGTCTTGCTAAATCCGCCCTAGCTTGATCTGTTTTACCTTCGGCGTGAAGCTTTTGGTAATGTGCTTGAGCCCTTTGTTTCTCAATTTCTTCGCGTTCCCTCCTGGATAATTGTGGTTTTTCTGGGGGTACATCCACTGTTAACGTGGTAAGTTTTTTATTCTTCTTTTGTACACGATTTGGATTTTCTATTTCTATTAAATTTGAAACACCCTTCGCTTTCTTTCCCTCTTCGTCATCGCTTGATTCGTCTTCACTTTCTGAACCTCCTGAAGCCTCATCATCCTCCTCCTCCTCTTCTTCTGAACTCACTTCACCTCGTTTTTGTCTCCACCTTTTTGCCTCCTCTTCCTTCCGACGTTCTTCCTCTAACTCTTCCGGGTTGGTAAATCGACGGTTTCTACCCTTGTGGTTGATGTGTTTTCCTGGTTATAAAGAAAGTGCGTTGAATTTAGCGTGGAGGTTATGGCGCGTAAACAAAGAAAAATTTGGGTTACCTGGTTTGGGCATGATGTAATAAGACGCGGGGAAACGGAATTTTAAGTTGTGGTGGTTGAAAACGCGCTATTTTTGATATAATTAGTGAAGAAATTTTAACAAATGTCAACAAATTTCCAGTTGACGTACACCCGACATTTTTTTTGGTGGCAACCTTAAAACACCAAATTTAATTACGCATTTTTTTTAATTCCTTTCTAAAATATGCTCAATATGAATCGATTTATTAACTATTTAGCACCTTTTTTTATTAATAATTAAAAATTAATTTTTAAAACGTAAATAATTAAAATTAAATATAATTTTTAGGATTTTTTCGATTTAGGTTGGTAACAACAACTCGATATAATAACAATAATAATCTGTCAAAAGTTAATGTTTTATTTTTCGATATATTAAATAAATAAATAGAATGCCTAAAGTTAGAAGGAGTAAAAAAGCACCCCCCGAAGGATGGGAATTAATTGAACCCACTTTAGACGAGTTAGAACAAAAAATGAGAGAGGGTAACTTAACCTAAATTATTTTTTAATATTTTAATGATTTTTTGCAGCCGAAACTGAATCTCACGAGGGTAAACGCAAACAAGAGTCGCTTTGGCCTATATTTAAGATACACCATCAAAAATCGAGGTACATTTACGATTTATTTTATCGAAGAAAAGCGATTAGTAGGGAGTTGTACGATTATTGTTTAAACGAAAATATCGCCGATAAAAATTTGATTGCGAAGTGGAAAAAGCCGGGTTATGAAAATTTATGTTGTTTAAGATGTATTCAAACGCGAGATACAAATTTTGGAACTAATTGTATTTGTAGAGTACCTAAAGGAAAATTGGAGGAGGTAAAATTAATTTTTTAGGTTATTTTTTTTTTTAACCTTTGTATTTTATAGGGAAGGATTGTTGAATGCGTTCATTGCGGATGCCGTGGGTGTTCTGGATAATTAATTTAAGATAATTTTATGTATTAATAAAGAATTAAAAAATTAAATTTTATCCGCTAGATGTCACTCCTTTTTCTACTAAAATCCGGTAGATGTCGCCACATAAAAAGTAACAACATTGTTTATTTACATGGTTATAATTGAAAATAATTAGAATAATTCGCGTATTTGTTATCAAAAAGAATAAATAAGTGGAATAAGTGATAAAGGGGATCAAATTTCGAAATAATCGGTGGGAATGTCGTAAAAGGTTAGTTTAAGTGTAAAAGCACGTGAAGCGTCCTTGAGGTTGTGTTAAATGTCCCAATGAGCTTTAATTGGGGCCAATTTGGAAACGAATTACAAAGAAATTACATTGTTTGGGAACAAAATTGGAAATTATGAAAGAAAAAATGGGTGGTTGTCTGACTGTGGAACGCGAAGAGGGACAAGCGAGGAAAAGAAGCGAAGAAATCGACCGGGAGCTGGGAGAATTCGCCAAACAGAGAAATAATGTTATTAAAATACTTTTATTAGGTACTAATATACATATATTTATGTTGGTGTGTCCTAATTGTTGTTTTTTTTTGATTTAGGCGCTGGTGAAAGTGGGAAAAGTACTTTAGTTAAGCAAATGAAAATCATTCACACAGATGGATATAGTTTTGAGGAATTAAGTAGTTATAGACCGACGGTTTTAGATAATTTATTGGCTTCTATGAAGTACGTTTTATCAGGAATGGGGTTATTAAGAATTAATTTGGAATTTTCAAGAAATAAAGTAATTAATCATTATTAATTTAATCCTTACTTAATTAAAATTGTTTTAGTATCATGCCCAAATGGTTTTAACAAGTAAATCATGTTTTGATATGAATTTTTTTGTAATACCTGATGTGGCAGCTTCTTTACAAGCTTTATGGGCCGACCGTGGGGTCCGATTAGCAGTGACCAGGGGTTATGAATATGAATTAAATGATTCAGCTCTCTAGTAAATTAAAATTCATTAATAATTTTTAAATTATTTTGTATCATTTTTCAGTTTATTCGAAAATATGGATAGAATTTGTGATCCAAAATATGTTCCAACCCCAACAGATGTTTTAAGGGCTAGAGTAAGAACTCAAGGGATAATAGAGACGAATTTTCGAATTAATGATATAATTGTAAGCATGTATGATGTTGGAGGGCAAAGATCTCAAAGAAAAAAGTGGATTTATTGTTTTGATGATGTTCGAGCTGTACTTTTTGTTGTCTCATTAAGTGGATATGATATGACGCTATTAGTAAAGACTTATTAATAAAGAAAAAAGACGTTTTTAATAATAATATTATTTTAGGAGGATCCAAATGTAAATCGATTAGTGGAGAGTTTAAATTTATTTAAACAGATTGTAAATAACCCATTTTTTCGAGATGCCTCATTCGTTTTATTATTAAACAAATTTGATTTGTTTAGAGAGAAGATTTTGTATTCTAATAGACATTTAAGGATTTATTTTAATGATTATAATGGTATTAATCAAATTAATTGAGTTAATTCAATTTTAATGATTTAAATTTAGGTCCTGATCGAGACGTCGATCGCGGTGCTTTATTCATCCAACACAAATTCGTTTTACAAAACTGTGATTCAAGAAAAGTTCTCTACCCCCATTTCACCACAGCTACAGATACGGCGAATGTCCGCGTCGTTTTCCAATCAATCATGGATATGGTGATATCAGAGAATTTGGGAAGGGTTACACTTCTTTAGTTAATTTTTATTTTTTTTTAATCTTATGAGGCTTTATTTTAAGATTTAACTTAGTTAAAATCGACCTAACCTCAAAATTTTTTTTTGACATTTCGTTTTATAGGTTAGGTTTGATTTAAAAAGTGATATTTTTTAAATGAAATGGTTTAATTAAGCTATACGTTGATATTATTTTTTGTTCATACAATCATTTTCATTGATACAATCAAAAAATCATTTAAAACCAAATTAATCGATCTCAATGTGTGTTCAAATCTTTTCTTTATTTTAAATTGATTTCGATTTAATTTAATTTAGAAAAGGTAGAAGATTTAGTTTGTTTAGAAGATTATCGTGCTGCTTATCCCCTTAAATAATAAGAATACAAAAGCGATTTAATAAATTAAAACGATTTAAATAATTACTTAACCTGTGATACAGTGCCTTTTTCTAAATCTCAATGTAACATAAATTGATTTTTTTGATGTTTATTAAAGATGGTTATAAGGATGGTTATATTTATTTAAGAATTTGCTGTGTTTTTTACAACTTATCCTACAAAATAAAGAATTAATTAATTTAAATTTCCTGCTGTTTAACCCATCTTTGCCCACAACCTCAGCAACTTTAGTGATAGTGAGTGGTAAAAGATAGAAAGATAGTGCCAATGTTACTCTACTATTTAATTTTTCTTCTGCTTTACCACTTGGAGCTGTCAAAAGAGATGATAGAAAAGCAATAAAATATACTAACGTCAGTGTTCCATAAAGAATGTTAAAAAAAAGGCTCAAGTAATGGATCAGTTAACATTTAGAAGTGCCATTACAAGAGATCTTCTGTTGGATAAAGATTTCTCATTGGATAATGCTGATTTTGCATCTACTTCATCACGAACGTCACATTTATCATTTCCAAGTGCAAATGAGTCAAAAATCATTCTCCATTTATTTGTAAAAATGAATTTACATCCATGAATCTATATTTACTATAATTTGAATACCTATTTTTTTTTAATATGTCAAAATGGTTTAAATCAAATAGTTTTCTTTTTTATCGACTCCCCAATAACCCTTCGATTACATCCAGAATTATTCCCCCCACTTAAGAAACCGGAAACTTCCCCCTTTAAAGCGCATGTCCGTTAATCATGCGCAGTAAATTCGTCCCCCTAAAAATCAACCACCACCGACGAAGACTCCTCTCAACGTCGAACGTCCGTTAATAGCAAATTTTTTTTTAAAACTAGATCGAAATAATTCCAAAATTCCTTACGATAGAAATTGGATTAAAGTTTTTTTTTGAAATCCCCGCCTACATACGTAAAATTTAACGAGGAAGAGGAAGTTTTCTTTTTGTTGTGTGTTGTGTTAGTGGTGGGAGGGCTCCAATGGAGGGTTTGGGCGCTTACGGCGGTGGAAAGGCCGGCGGCTCCTTCGACCCGATCGGTTTTATTCGGCGCCCCCAAGTCATTTTAAGGGCCGTTTGTTGGGTGAGTAAGGAAAAATAAAAAAGAAATTAAAGATTTTTTTAATAAATTAATTAGCGTGTGTATTGTGTGAATGTAGTTACGAATCGATTCTTGGCCGAGCATTTTTGACAGATGAAAAGAAGAAGATTTCTATTTTTCTTTCTTTTGTTATTGATTGCTGTTTAGCGTCATTTTGCATAAATTTCTTTATTTTATAGCTCTTTTCAATCATAATTTTTGGCTGTATATCTTCACAAGGATGGATTAAGAATCCAACCACGAAAAAGGAAGAATGCTTGTATAATAATGATAGTAATGCTTGTAATTATGGGGTTGGAATAAGTGTGATAGCCTTTTTGGCCAGTATGGGGTTTTTAGCTGGAGAATATTTATTTGAGCAGATGTCGTCGGTTAAAACTCGCAAACATTACGTATTAGGCGATTTGGGATTCTCAGGTAAAACTCAAATTTAAATCAAATTTATCTAATCAATAATGTCTTTAGGATTTTGGTCATTTTTATTTTTCGTTGGATTTTGGTACCTAACCAGACAATGGGGAAAATCTGAAACACCTCCCAATGGTTATGGAGTGAATAATGTTCAAGCTGCTATCGCATTTTCTTTTTTCTCTATATTTACTTGGGTAAGTTAATTTTTTAATCAAATTAATTTATTTCATAATTAATAATAAACATAATAATGAATTGTGTATAGGCTGGGTGTGCATGGTTCGCTTATCAACGTTTTAGACAAGGTGCAGATGCTGCTTTTGCAACGAATTTCGAAGCGGACGCTACTTTACCGACATCTTATCCCAGTTATCCCGGCGGACCGGATATGATGGACCAACAATATCAGCAACCACCTTTTTCTGCTGGTATAAATCAAAGAGGTAATTTTTTTTATCAATTTTTAACGATTTAATTAATTAAATGTCAAATTAAAAGCGAAACATAACCTATTTTAAACGCCAAAACAAAGTTGTTACCAACACGAATTACCAAAGTAACTGTCAATTTAACCTAAATTTTATTTATTAATTTTGAAAATCGATTGTATTTAGTTAATTAGTTTATTTAACATGAAGAAAAACAAAAATGAATCATTTTTTAATAACATTTACTTCAAAACATCAACATACATGCCTTTGGTCATTTGGATTATTTTATTTTTAATGACAATTAATTAAATGTCAAATTAAAAGCGAAACATAACCTATTTTAAACGCCAAAACAAAGTTGTTACCAACACGAATTACCAAAGTAACTGTCAATTTAACCTAAATTTTATTTATTAACTTTGAAAATCGATTGTATTTAGTTAATTAGTTTATTTAACATAAAAAAAAACAAAAATGGATCATTTTTGAATAATATTTACTTCATAACATCAACATTTATTAATTTTTTTATTTTTTTTTAAGGTTCAGGCGAATTTCAAGCACCAGCTTATTAAAGAGAAACAAATATATACTGGATTTATCATTAACAGGAAATAACAAAAAAGATGTTATATCAGGTAGTATTATATGTAAGTAAATTAAAAAAAGAATGTTATCAGTACTTATAGATCTGTAATAGTAAAAAACAAGAAATAAAAGGAAAGTTAAAAATGATGGAAAAATTATAAATATAACGATATATATTTAAGGAATACTTAAAAGTATTTTTTGATGAAAAGAGGTGAAAAAAAAGACATTTTATTTATTTTCTTTGATACGTTAAGAAAGTTTGGTTAGATTTGACTTTGTGATATATTTTTTTGATTTGCCAAGAAACTAGCTTTATTTTATTTTTAATTTAGCCATTTTAAATGGGATTCTCGTGAATAAATGTTTAGAAGTCTGTGTAAAGTTAAAAAATACTAACTAAGTATTAAAAGAAGCTTCTAGCACAAATTAGACTCGATTTTATTTCTTAATTGATATTTTACCATGAAATTAAGCTTGTATACAGTTTGTATAATAAGTAGGGGTTACAATGTAGTAAATGCAGCAGCATTTTAGTATTGTTCACATCTAGATACTTATTATGGAAATGTTTTCGGCAATAAAATGTAGATATATTTAACAAAATGAAATAATAATATACTTTAATGTAATTAATTGTACAAAATGTACTTTTTTTTTCTATAAAGGAAAAAAAGATGGAGTGTTGAGGATAATTGTTGATTTTTTTTAAATATTTATTTCTTCAAAGTATTATTTTACTTAAAAAAAAAATTTGGATTAATTTCATTGATTATTGTAATTACAATAAGAAAAAAAAATCGATTGAATATTATATTGTGGGTGTATATTTGTAAAATCGAAACATTACGATAAGTTACAAATAAATGTTATCAAAAATTATTTATTTATATTTTTTTTTTAATAAAAAAGAAATAAATAATACAAACCCATCAATCCAAATCGAATCCAAATCAAACCAAACCCAACCTAAATCACGTTTCATTTTCTTTCCATAATTTTTGTCAACTTTCCTTTTATTCAAAAAAAAATCAAATAATAGTCGATAATTTTAAATTATTCATTATACGTTGAAAAATGTGTTTATGGTCAGGAATTTCAGTCAATAACTCTTGAACCACCGCTTGTAATCGCGTATTAATATCTTTTTGCTTCGTGTATTCCTCCATTATCTTCGAATCAGTTTTATAAGTTAAGAAAGGCTTTCTACCTTTAGCTAATTCAACGTAAATTTTTAATTTGCGCTGATTCAAAGCGAGAAGATCCAATTTCTAAAATTAAAAAATTTATGTTTATTAATGTTTGGTATTTAATGGTATTTTTTACCATTTGTTTGTCGGTTTTTTCTTCTTCAATTTGTTCCTTTAAATCTGCTTGTTTTTGTACAATATTTTCAGTTTCAGCTTCTAACGCAGCGATTTGCTCTTCAGCTTGTTTAATTTCTTCGCTAACACGTTCTATTTGAGCTTCCAAATTTTCAACATCCTATAAAAATTTATTAAATCATTATTAATAATTTATTATGTAAAGCGTTTGTAAATGCACATCATGTGTATTTCTTAGACAATTAATTCCTCAGAAAGATTTACCAAGACCGTTGTATGTATTAATATTAAAGGGACTATTTTTTGCTATGACTAAAATTTGAATATGTTCAAAACAAGTTTGTATCAAAATTGGGGCGAAATTATTATTTTCTGATATAATATTTTCCTATGTGCTGAGCTCCATGTTATTTTTTTTGTTAGTATTATTCTTCTATGTTTCTGATAGCATGAGATTTCAACATTCTCAAAAGTTTATTGAATCCAGCTTCACTCGTCTATCGTCAATAGCATCTATAAAAAGGTAGTGAAATGAAGTTAATTACTTGTGTTGGTTCAAAAAGAATTAATTCAGTCTTTGATGGGTTAGATTATGATGTTCAGAAATATCAGCTTTACTCTGAAGATCAGAGTTAATGCGTTCACAAGCAGCTGTCGCATCAGACGGCGGAAAGGAGCAGTACAGTTGCGTATCATCAGCGTAAAAATATGATCTACAATATTTTATGTAGGTTTTAAAATGACATGTATACAAAAGAGGTCCAAGAATGGATCCTTGTGGTACACCCGAGATACTGTCATCAACAATAACTGATTGTCGAAGATTTTCTAAATAACTGCGCAGCAATTCAACAATCCAGACCAACATATTGTAAAATAGAACACGGTAGGTTATGGTTGATTGTGTCAAATGCTTTGGAAAAATCTACAAGACACAAAACTGTGGCATTTCCCTTGTCTATTTCAGATACAACATGATCTATAATGGAAATTAATGCGGTGGTACAACTCAAACCAGGTCTAAATTCAGACGGCAAGATACCATTTTTATCTAAAATCAGTAGGGTTCTTAATTTTTGATAACGGTCTAACCAGAGCAATCTTCCACGCATCCGGAAAGACAGAAATTTACAATGTGTCAAATATAAAAGAATATGAGGACTTAATTAACCCAATATACGTCTTCCTTACGTTAATATACAGTAGCTATGTACAGGGTGGTTCAAATTCGATGTCCGAATAGGCTAACTCAGAAACTATAAGAGTTAGAAAAAAAGTAGCTTACATGTCATGATCTCGTTTTTCGAGAAACTGCTAATGCCGAAAACCTCATAGCGCTATCGTCTTTTGTTTTTCCCCTAGAGGCCAAAATTGGAAATATCGTAAAACCAGCAAGTGCAATTATCTTCGTTATTATTATAGGTGGAGTATTATAACTAAGACATTATATGGACACTTTTTTATAGAGAATTGGATGACGTAGTCAAAAAAATTTTTTCGGTTTTAGATTTTGAGATAT